GCAATGAATTTTGATATGTGTTACCCCAAACCTCTACACAGTAATTTAAATACAGTAACACCAGTGAACAGTACAAAATGTGGAGTGATCTGTAATTTAGAATGTGCTTAGCTTTAGCCAATACTGAAATACTTTTAGACAGTTTTGTTTGGATATGTTTAAAGTGAGATTTCCAGCAAATCTTGTCATCTATCTATAATCACTCCAAGGAATCTCATTTCATGTACTCGTTCTATATTAACACCCTCGATCTGTAACTGAATGGCTGCAACTTTTTTATTTTGATGCTCATTACAGGTTTGCAGGGGAAAAGTCTTCCTTTCAGTTTCCAGTAACTGATAATGAAAACTGATCAGCTCGGTCATCAATGCAAACAAGTTCACTAGAACAACAACCACTGATCCGATAAGATGCACAATGTGTCTAAAAGGAAGATCTGTAAGGCAGGCAGGAATAAATAAATATGAAATAAAAAGGTTGCAGCCATTTTTAAACAATGTAAGTTGTTAAAATAATCAATACTGTACCCAGGTCACCAAATGAGTGTTTGCGGACCACAGACCCATCCATCAGAATCTACAGTCATTTTGATGTGATTGACGCCATTATTGTGGCCTACCTTTTTTTTTTTCAGCGCTATGACGATTAGACCATTATTGTGTTCACCATTATCATGAAACCTGAAAATGATGAAAATGTGAGAACGTTTATTACATTTTAAAATTGTGGTATAATATGATTTGGGAACATCTCCAAAATAACCTTACAAGGTTTAAAACTAGTTCAAATGTGGCCATTGTGGACTTATTTTCAACATTAAGCTCTCATTTAGATATAATTTATACAGTTTCTGGACCAAATAAATACTCTCGGGATGCATTGATTTAAAACTTGTGTTTATTTCAATGTCATTTCCATTTTTAATTGCAAAGCAACTCACAGACATGTTTGTGTTTGTCCAAAAACATAAAATGAACATGAACATAAAATAGACTTTTGTAAATCACATATCTTTGGATCATGAGAGAAACCAGATCTGAAGGTTTCTCTTCTTTCTGGCTCAGACACTTGTGCTGCCCTTAATCACAGACATAAAATACAGATACTTTTGACTATTTCTGTCAGATGTCTACAGAAGATCTTAGTGAGAATTAACAGAGGTTTAGATGTTGACATTTGAAGTCACCATTGTTGTGATCAGTGTGTGCTTTAGTTGGGCTCTTCGTCCCCGATTCTTGTGTTAGCTGTTCATTGGCTGCTCTAATTCTGAATATGGAAAACAATTTCAAGCCAAGAAAAAAGAAGATCAGCTTATTGTTGATGATAACACAATCATAATTTAGTCAGCTTTAGGATGTTGCTGGTTATTTACAGCAAGGTTTGACAGGAAAGCTGCAGCAGATCCAGCTAATCCTGCTGACACTGTAACATGAAGTGGATTTCCTCCTGCATAGTAACCAATCAAAGCTCCAACAGATGTGGCACAAAAAAAATATCCTGTCTTCAGCAATACTTTTCTGGAATGGTCTTTTCTGACTCTCTCTGACTCCATTCTCCTCTCCTCTCTCTCCATCATTTCTAGTGTGTAGGAGGAATTTCTGTTCTCAGTCACCATTGTGTCAATCTTCTCCATGAGTTCAGTCACTTGCTGTCTATTTGCCAGAGCTTTAATGTTCAATTCATGATATCTCTGACCACATCGATTAATAAAATCAGACAATTCATTATTTCTCCTAATCAGAGCTCCTAATGGTCTGTGAGTCTTATTTACATTAGTAAAGAGGACTAGAGTATATGTGAGAGCTTCTACACCAAGCTTCTGTTCAAACCAACCAATAAAATCCTTCTCATGTTCAGTGAAACTGCTTAAAGAAAGAATAAGCAGGATCACATGAGCTCCTGGTGAACATAATTCAAGCGCTCTCTTTAACTCGGAGTCTGAATCAAAATCAGTGTGAGTGGAGTAGATGAAGTCTGGGGTATCAATCACTGTCACTCTCCTGTTATTAACAACACCGGGGTGTCTTTGACAGGTTCTGGTCACTGAAGAAGAACTTATTTTTGACTCAAACACTGCATTATTAAAGATGATGTTTCCTGTGGTGCTTTTCCCTGATCCAGTTTTACCGATCAGCAGCAGCCGACGGTCATAATGGAGCAGATCTTCCTCCTCGTCATCTCTTGTTCTGACCTGAAATCTCTGAAATACACAAAACCACACAGCAAACAGTCAGTTGAAAATACCTGTTCTGCTGGTTGCATTTCACAACCTTACCACTAGATACCCCTAAAAATGACACAATACACCTTTAAATGAATCAAATTGCAGTATATTTTCAATGTGTCTTGGTTTAATCAACTATTTAACATGAAAAAGTTTGTACAACTAATGACACTAAGTTGAGAAAATTTAAAGATGTCCTGCAGCTGGTTGCCTTAAACTTTTAAGTATTCTCAACTTTTTTTACAGTGCTGTTTTGTTAACTTATAGTTCATTATTGTTAAAATAAATGTGAAAATATAGCTGCGAGCTGAGATTACGGGTCCAACTGCTCTCACTTATCATAAACACCAAAGCACAGATGTATGTGCAATGTAGATTAATTCATCATACAATGATTGACTGTTTTTGTTCTATTTCAAAAGTCAAAATCATTTCAAATAAAGATTAGAGCAAGACACTTAACCCCTAGTTGCTCCAGAGGCGTGCGACCTCTGACACATATAGCAATTGTAAGTCGCTTTGGATAAAAGCGTCAGCTAAATTAATATATATATATATATATATGAATATATAGATTACAGCAGAACCAATGCTTCTTTTAGCTTGACGTTGAACGTTCGATATTTGCAAATTTGGGGACCGTCTCCTACATATGACCCAAAAGGTTCATCTGTAAGATCTGCTAAAGATCCGGTAATCTGGAAAGCATCTGCTCTGTAAAAATATCTGATAAAGGTCTTAGAAAAAGTAGTTTTACATACAATCTTAAAAATCTTAAAGACATCTTCTTAATGTCTATTTGCCATCTAACAGTGTATCAAAAATGGCACATGTTGTGTAGATTTTAACACATGTAGTGTGTCTGCTCAGGGACAACACATGTTGTGTCAAATGTAACACACAACCTGTGTCGATTCTTAACACCTCTATGTTTATGAGGACTACAGTCAGATGTATTTACATGTGACTCTAGTATATTTTCCAGAGGTACTTTGTGTGGTTTTACAACGTGTAAAAGTTTTTGGATGAACACTGAAATGTTTATATGTAGTCCAAGATGTCTGTGTGCATCTATTTTGATACTGTAAGACCCTGTACTATGTCTTAAAAACAAACTTGGCAAAGATGTTGCCAACATTGCTCATCTCATGCTATAAAAAGTCATATTAAACACTTGTTGAGCTTAGCCATTATAAGAATGCCATCATGTGGTCATTTTTTTCTCATGGTTATTAGGCTACTGTTGCCTTAAATGTGTAAAATAAGTCAACAGTTAACTTACAGTTACAGCAATCAGAAATAATATGATTTAATGTCAAGAGCCAAAATAAAGGTCCATAATCACGATTATGGTGACTTATAACGAAACCTGTTGATTCTTAATAAAACTTATGTAAACGTACAGAAAAAAATTAATCTGGTTATAGAAGGCCTAAGTGAAAAGTGCGGTGAATGCAGCGTTTGAACAAGACACAAGGCCGTGATTACCAAAAATTCTATGCAGTTAATTTTAAACACAGATGGTGTGTTAAAAATCTAGACAACATGTCAAAATACCATCAACACACTCTGTGTTTTATCTCTTTTACAGAGAATGATGTAACAACGGAACACTATGTATTTGACATTAACTCACATATCTGTGATTGTGGAGTAGGTCACATAGCCTACAAGTTAGGTTTATTTGCAGTTTACAAATATGGCTACCACATATCAAAGTTTTAAAAGCTATAACACAAACAACCGATACTACTCTCCCCGCCCGCGGTCTTCCTTAAATGCAGAGTTAACCTAACACGACAAACCAGAAAGAATAAAAAGTTACTCGCCTGATTCATAATTTTTTTTTTTTTATTCCTGAATGGAAAATGTCTTCTGTAGACGAGCTTCAACAAAATGTCCGCAGTGTTATTTTACTTTCACTTTTAACAATGCGACCTGTGAATCATATTCCGGAGTTTGTCACCAGAAAGAGGCGCTGTGGTTCCTTTAAAATGACTGTAGGCATAAACCATCTGCATTAATCCGTCCGGTGGAGGAGGGCTGAACATACACGTTCAAGATGCGCTGAATCCTTCAAAAGGCATCAAGTTGGCTTTCCAATATCTAGTAGCCCATAGCTGGCGTATATATTTTTTAAAACATACTGGTCGGTTATTCAGTTATATTTACCTAATAAGTCCTGTCGAGAAAATTATATTGCCTCGATAATTCGAACCTGGGCAAATGCATACTGGTTAGAAATGTGTCCGAGTACTAAGAATTTTTTTAGAACGTCTGTAACCGTTGATTTTTTTGACCCCATTTTTTTCAATCAAGTCAATATGGACCGTCAACTGTCGGTAATATTAAACATTATGTGATTTAGGCAATACCTGCACGTGTGCTTCTCTGATAATCTTCATGTAATAAAATGTGACATAACCCACCCAGCACCAGACGTCATTAAGACGTTGTTTTTTGGGCTAAATCAAGTCGGCCCGTCATAGCCTTCATTTAGCCCGAAAATAGACGTTGAAAATTGGTCTTTGTTTGGTCCGTCTGATTTGGTCAAAATTTAGCCCAAAAATAGACGTTGAAAATTGGTCTCTATTAGGTCCGTTTGATTTGGTCCAAATTTAGCCCAAAAGACTTTGAAAAATGTAGCCTACTTTCGTCCGTCTGAGGGCAGCGCCAGATCATTTTTAACAGGTGCTGAGGGGGTGCTATAAAACACAACCACAAACGTCAGAACTAGCCAAGATTCTCTCTGATTTTCAGCAAACTACCGTAAGCATAGTAGTAAAGGCTCCTCACGCACACTTAATCGAGGCAATTTACTAGCAATGTCCTCAACCTGCAGACTTTTAATCAACATTTGGAAAAGTAGCCTAGTTAATCAAAAAATATTGATTTGAAGTTTTGAAAAGCCTCGTTTCAGCCATCTATCATAATTCAGATGTCTGTTTGCGTACAGGCTAAAACGAGATTCGCCATTACGTGGGGGGAACGGTGTCTGCTTCAGCTTCTGATCTCACGATCTAAATCATGTCGTGTTCAGACGCCAAAACAGAGATAAGAGGTAACTTTCTTCCTTAAGAATAATTCTGAGATTAATTTTGATCTTGATAATTGTATCGATAACAACTTGTGTAGCTGTTTATCAGAGATATGTAAGTGTCTTTAATTTACAATCTGCTAGGCTAGCTACCTTTTACTTTCGATTTGGAGCCTAGCTGGCTACACCCAAAACTTTAAAATCGTCTTAGGTTAATATCTTGAGCTTTTCTAGCTCTTTGTTCACTTAATTTTGAATTGTCAATTTTTTTTTTTTTTTTTTTTTTGCCTATAGTTACCACAATGAGAACTTTAAATTAGCCTTTTCTTAGTTTATTAAAAATTACAATGAAGTATGTCTAAACATTCTTTTTTAGGGAGAAGAGGAAGTTTGGACGTAGATCAACCAAACCGTGAGTCTGCACACCATGTACACATTTGTTTGCTTTAAGTTTGAATAAATTAGTGGATTTAAGTTTGGTCTCTCTTCAGTGTCTTTAAGAAGACTGGTGCTGGTTGGTAAAACTGGAGCAGGGAAAAGCTCTTCTGGAAACACCATCCTTGGCAGAAAAGCCTTCAGAGCTGCCAAAAGTGGTTTATCTGTAACTAAAAAATGCAGAAAAGAGACTGCAGAAGTGGCTGGAAGGGAAATTACCCTGGTAGATACACCTGGTCTGTTTGACACAGATGCTTCAGATGAATATCTGAAACAGGAGATCAGTAAGTGTATAAATATGACGGCACCTGGACCTCATGCCATCATCCTGGTCATTCAGGCAGGTCCATTCACTAAAGAAGAGAGAGACTCAGTGGAGAAGATCAGAGCTTTATTTGGAGAAGAAGCAGACAAACGCACAATCATCCTCTTCACTCATGGCGATGAACTGATTGGCTCTTTTGAGAAACACATCAGTGAAGCCAGTGACAACCTCAAAGAGATCCTGAGGCGCTGTGGGGGAAGATATCACGTCTTCAATAACAAAGGGATGGAAAATAGAAAACAAGTTACAGAGCTCCTGGAGAAAGTGGAGGACATGATCACTGCTAACGGAGGTGGATTTTACACCAGTGGTTTTTACCAAGATGTGGTGATGGTGCTGAAACATAAAGAGGAGGAACTGAAGCAAAACTATGAGAAAAAACTTCTCGACACTCAGAGAGAACTGGAGTCCAGATTTAATGAAGAGAAGAAGAAACTGCTGGACAGAATAGACACACTAACAGCATCTGAGCAGGAAAAAGAAGAGAAGATCAAAAAGTTGGAACAGCTGAATGAGAGGAACAAGATTGACATGATTGAGTACAAGCGATTTTATGACACAAAGCTCAGAGAGGCCAGACAGGAAGCAGAACAGACCCGTCTTAATGAGAGTAAACTAATGGAGATCTTCGCAAAGTTTCAAACAATCCAGCTCTAAGCACTGATTTTACATTGTAACATTTTCTTTAATGTTTAAACAATATGCACTGCAATGATCCATGTAATCCTAATTTTACAGAAAATAACTGATTTTTTGGATGACCATTTTCTTTCATTTAAAAATTTTACTCAAAACTCTGAAAAAAAAATTACAAATTATACCTGTAAATTAAAAATGCAGGTGTTATTTAATGTATTGTGACATTAATGACAAATTGCAGTAATTCACATATTTTATACAAAAAATGTACTGTATTATTGTAGAAAATAAATACATTTTTATGCTGTACAAGGACAGTGCTGTTATAATTAAGTAAACCCAACTCAGATATTGGGCTCTATGAGTTCAGTGGCGACCAAACACTTCCTCGTTTTCCCCATTTAAACACAGTTACTCGGTTAGTGTAATTCGACCTAGGCTGGTGACACAAAATAAAACGTTGTATTTTTCTAAGCGTTTAAAATTGATGACTATATTGTATGGCGGAATACCATAAAAAAGTGCTTTAGAGCACTTAAACTTGGCGCAATAATACCTTCACTCGTGAAAAGTCCTCTTACCGGCTCCCGCTTCTTTGCTCTCCCCCTTCCTCTTATTTCCGTCAATGCAGCCAACGTGACATGCGCCAAAGCGGGAGCCGGTAAGAGGACTTTTCACGAGTGAAGGTATTATTGGGCCAAGTTGAAGTGCTCTAAAGCACTTTTTTATGGTATTCCGCCATACAATATAGTCATTAATTTTAAACGCTTAGAAAAATACAACGTTTTATTTTGTGTCACCAGCCTAGGTCGAGTTACACTAGTCGAGTAACTGTGTTTAAATAGGGAAAACGAGGAAGTGTTTGGTCGCCTCTCTTTTGGGCCCATATGCACTGGGCTAAGCTAAGTGCTATCATAGTTTTGCGGCAATACAGAGCGATAGAGTGCACGCACTGAGACGAGAGAGGTATGCATCAGCTCGTCTTAATTAAGGGAATAACATAGTTTAATATGAAAACCCGGTGGAGTATCCCTTTAAGGATGTGAGGGTCAAGAGCCCAACTAAACACACTGATCTCCATAATGGTGACTTAAAAATTCCGGTTTTCTCCTTCAGTGATTCTGCTTGTTATCATGAGGTGTCTTCAATAATGCTCAATCATCACTCAATTATTCACTTAATTATCTCATTAACTTTAACACCGCTTCAGTGTTCATTTAAAAATCTGCTCAGAGTTTATATAATTCACACTCTCAGTCTTTATTTAAAATTTTACTGTGCACAACATTAAATTAACATGATTTTTATTGCCAATATGAAGCTGTGTATTTCGGATTTCCTGAACAATGGGGCTTCATTGTTATGATGTAAATGATCTTTGAAAAGTTTGAAAAAACATAAAGTGACTTTGTCTTGAGCTGATCAGCCAATTGTGTTATGTTCAAGCTTTTCAACCTTATTACCGTTTTTGATGACTTTCTAATATATATTTCTAATTAGAAAATAAGTACAAATATCAAATTGTTAAAAGGGATGATTATAAGAGAGCATACATTTGAAACTGCTGAGTCAGTGAAGGGTTTTGATTATATCGCCCACTGTTCAATGTAACTCATAGAGTGCTATAGTGATGACAGAGGATAAAAATGGACTCTCATGTCCAGCTTGAAGATGATAGCCAAAGCTTTTAAAGGTAAACTGAGAAGTCAACTGAAAATGCTCAAACATGGATACAAAAATGTTGATCAGTGGTTAATTTGATATAAATTCTTCTTCTCTTTCAAATATCCTGTGATAAAGCAGTCTTCAAATACCGTGTCTGAACCACAAGCCCTCCTTTGCAGAAAATGAGTCGTCATCCATTTCAAGATGAAGATGTGACAATCAAACTCTGTTTCTTTGGTTCAGCCATTTGCAGGCCTAAGTTTGTAAATAATGCACTATTATTCACTTCTGCACATTTTTCCATAACGTTTTTCCATAACATTTTTTTTTCAGAAAATTGCATTGTGATATGGTATTATAGGTATAACTGAATTGTTTTTTTTTTTAAATAAATATAGCTGCCATAGATTTTGTTCGAGAGATGATTGATTTCAAAGTCTGTGTCTTAACATTTATATTTAATTATTTTTGCATTTTAATATACCATTTTGAATACTGAGTGAAACAGCTTTATACGTATTAAATTAGTGTAATGCTATACATTGAGCTGAATTCAAATTCTTGAGCCTACATTAAAATGAAGCCTCAAATTATAGTTTAAGAAATATGAGAGTATATTTTAAATTAACTGTAAAGAAATCAATTTAAATGTACTTTAATTGGTCCAGTTTTAGCACAATTTAATATATTAAAATATATTGCAAATAGCTTACAACGCATATCTTGAAATACACTTAATTTAATTTCTGTTGTTTAAAAATAATGCATTTAATAAGAACAATTTAAATATTTTTGGTATGTCCAAAAAAGCACAATTTAAATATATTTCATTTTCATCTGGGAGGCTGGGACGATTCAGTTGATTTCTAATTACTTTACAACTGCAGAATTTTATATCACCATCTTATTTCTTCAGGGTAACCTAACTTTAATAATAACAAACACAAAACCTCAAAATTACCTGCACATTAATATTGAGTAGCCTATGTTTTTTATGTTTTTTTTTTTTGTTTAAAAAAGTATTTAGTTAAGAAAAAGTAGTGTTTAGAAAGTTTAGTATAGTTCTGTTTGACCGTGAAATGTAAACTGAGCTCCGCCTTCCGCAAAACGAAAGCATATATTTCAAGCTTCGCCATACTGACAATTCAAAGCTCTAGCAAAACAAAAACCCCGTTTTCTTTCAGTCAGGTAAGTTTTAAGAACTCTGAATCTACGATTTCTTTTGCACCTAGATTATGTTGTGTAATAGCCTAGGTGAACTTTTACTTACTGTTTTGTTTTTGTTTTTAAATTGAGACAGCTAATGAGTTTTCTGAAGTGCGTCATCACATAAATGTAGGCCTAAAAGACTTAAATGTTTAGGCTACTTTCCCCATTCTGTTTATAGCCATAGTAATAATCTATCAAATCAGTAAAGATCGTAATTTTTCATTTGAATCTTAGTAAATAAATTGCTTTTATTTCCTGGGTCTAATTAGCGCAAATGTATCACCATTTTAGAACGGTTTAAAGAGGATATACAAATTTGACGTTCTTTCCCCCCACTGCTTGCTTGCTTGCTTATTTATTTATGAAAACTCTAGGCCTCTTCTTTGTGCAATGCTCATATCTTCGACGATTTTTAGACCTTCAATGTTGACGGGATACGGTGTTCCGGGTTCCCAGCAAACAGATGTTGGTTATAAGAACATTCTCCAAATATTAAGTGTTGGTTCTGTGTCCAGTTTCCTTAAAGTTGAGGTGTTTTAAAAGGTAAAATGTTCCTCTAAACGTAATTTTGATTAACAATTCAATGTTGTTTTGTAACGTTCCAAGAAGGTAAGAATGCTCTTTAGAGGTCAGATGTTCCTGGAACATTCTTTCAATCATTTCAATCAAACTCCTGCAGTGAACAAATTTAAGCACCGAAAGAAAGAGAAATCAGAACACAAACACATAAAAGCACTGTATTTTGAGCAATTGAACACCCGCACAGATACGTTCAGTGGCTATGAAAATGTTAATTTTAATACATCCTTGCACCTTATTTCCCCTATTGTTGTGGAAAAGAGAAAACGTTATGCGTCACTGAACAGTTGCGCAGGTCCCCGGAAAAGCCAGAAACGTTTCTATATGAAGTCTACTGAACGTCCGATTTTGACATCATGTGACCTTTGTACAAGGTTGAAAACAAGTTCAAATGTGATCTTTGTTGGCGTGTTTTTAACGAATTATAACACTAACGGAGCAAATATATTTTTATGATCAATATATTAGGCCTATACAGGAAAATTAATGAAATTATATTGTGATATTTAATATTATAATATATTGCATAATACATAAGAAATTGCTACTTTTCATATTTTGAATGTATTGTATTAAATGTATTTACAATACTGTATATTTACAATAATTCATTAGTGTATTTAGAAAATGGAACACAGCTGTTGCCTTAAGGATGTTTTACTCAAAGTTGTAAATTGCTAATACAGTTTATATAGTTTTTATTAAATGAATTAAAATATTTAAAAAATCATTATGTTAACAAAGAAATTAACAGGCATCATTGCAATACAATCATTTCCTGTACAACAAAGCATATCAAAATGTCTTGGTCTTCTGGACTAAAAGCGCAGGCTCTATACACTTCAGCACAATTGTCACCCAAACTACACAGATAATACAGATACACTTTAAATCTCAACAGAACATTAAACACTGACAGATCTCTCAAGATCTCAGATTAAAGTTAAACATACAAACAGCATTACCAGCTTCACTTATCACCAGAGTAATCCAGGGGTCAAAGAGTAACAGTCCTGCCATGTTTATTCCACCCATAAACTCAGTCAGATGATTTCACTAATTAGTTCTGTCTCCTGTCTGACTTAGCAAATCCAGGTGATTGGAATAAAATACTGAGGAGGACTTTTACTTTATGAACTTTACACCTCTGGCCATGGACTGCTAACAGTCATTTGAGTTTTCTTGGTTTATTTTATTTATTATGATATTTTACTTTAAATTTAGGTTGTTGTTTTGTTTTTGTTTTTTTTAATTCTGCATACATTTGTATGTAATTCAAGAAATACTGTATAAGAAAATTATTTTTTTCCGTATAAAAATGGAATTGCTGTAATTTGTCGTTCAGTTTTGAATACAATTTTAAAGTGTTTTTTATTTATTTATTAATTACAGTGCAATGTCCCCACTTAGATGTCTAACTGTGTGACTGTCTGTGTATGTGTGTTTGTTCTTCTCTTACAGCATTTCATGCCTCATTTTGAAAATGGTAGGAATCAGTGCACTGAATTGTGTCCTTTTGGGGAAAACAGGAGTGGGGAAAAGTGCAGCAGGAAACACAATACTGGGAAAAGAAGCTTTCAAATCAAAGAAAAGCTTAAAATCTGCAACTAAAGATGTAGCTGTTGCATCTGAGACCATTTGTGGACAACAGATCACTGTTTATGACACACCTGGATTATTTGACCCTGATCTGTCTGAAGATGAAATTCTACAAAAATGGCAGAAGGTTCTGCAGAAATGTGAATTAGCCCCCTGTGCATATCTCCTGGTGATCAAAGCTGACAGATTCACTAAAGAAGAGAAAGAAACTGTGGAAAAGATTGAGGAGGTCTTGGGACAAAACCGCTTGGATAAAACCTGGATTCTCTTCACCAGAGGAGACGAACTTGAGGAAGAAAACATGACAATAAAAGAATTCCTTGATGAGACTGAACCACTGAAGAAACTCGTTCAGAAATACAATCAGAGATACTGTGTGTTCAACAACAAGAAGAAAGGACATTTTGAACAAGTCAAAAAACTGCTTCGTTTTATCAATTTACGTTTCAGTCCGGGTGAGTGTTTTTTTTTTATACCAAATATTAAGTGAATATTTTTAATCAAATTGAATGCATCAGATTATCAATGCATTAGAAAGGGCTAATGGAACGAAAATGTATTTTCATATATTTATGATTAATATATTCCCTTAGAATAATTTTAATTAAATATGAACATTTTCAGAATAATATATTGTGTTAATTTATTACAATATATTGAATAATACATAAGGAATTGCCGCTTAATACGGTGGCCGAGAGAGCTCACCGCGCTGCAACCTAAAGAAGACACATGCAAATAGAAAAAAATGCATGCAAATACGCGGTGCAAACGTTCACAACACTACCAAATACAGAAATGCGCTGCAAGTAACGCGATCCACAACAGAAATGTTTCCGGGGAACCAAATAAGAGACGGACCCGACTGGGACGTGTTCATCATAGATATCCATATAAAGGCTAGATATCTCGTCCGCGCTGCTGGCCAATGGAGGTCAACGTCTGCACCTGGCGGCCATCTTGTCACAGGCAGCTCGCTCGACGCTCACTCGTAACATTGTTTTAATGGTGCATGTACTTTTTAAATCACCATAACTTGCTTAATTTTCTACTGATTTTCAAAACGGCCTGGTTTGTTATAAACGTCAGAGATGTAGTTATGATACTGCATTCTTATAAATAATAAGTGTATAAATAAATAATCATCCAGATAATTATAGCCACCACGTTGATAACGTTTGTAAGAAACCAAACCATTTGTAAATCCGTCAAGATTTCAACGAGATAAGAGTATTTGTGTTCGTGCTGATCCCTCACCTTACATCAGATTCTACAGAGCATGCCAGAAAGCCTGCCTGTGACAAGATGGCCGCCGGTGATGACGACAAAGACTCCGCCATACACAGGACGTGGTTACAGCAAAAAACGATTATTGACAAGAAGTCAAAGCCTATATATTTTTTTATAAATAAACTATACTATTAAAATAATATTGTATATATAAATAATGTTATCATTTTTATAGTTCTTCTATACTCCTTACTTACAGCTCAAAATTCTACTTTATTTTTATTTAATTTCTTTTAACTTTTCCCCCCGCAAAACACAGAGATTCAATTTATTATGACAAACAGCTTGTATACAATATACAACATGTATTAACAAGATGTTCAATGTCATCAGAATACAAATGAGAAAAGAGCAATGATCTGAAAACTAAACTAAATAAATAAAAAAGATAGAGAAGAACACGAAGGCAAGATATTAATCTATACATGAGTTACACTATACAAATTGTTTCATGTTATGTTTACATTTTCATAAAGAAAAGTTTCATAAGAAATGTTAGGTAATGTATGGCAAGGTTTTAAAGTTGAGACACTGACATGCAGATATAAAAAAATATATAAAACACATATTTGAACAGTTTTTTGTAAAGTAAAAAATAATTTAAAAAAATTATAATTTTTTTTTTTATTTGCAACCGTTATGTTTATCATTATATTTCTGTCGTCAGAACAACTATACAGCTGATGGACAACGTGCTGCGTTGTCATAGGAACATCCTAGGTAAAAATAATTACATTGGAAATTACGTTGTCTGTTGTTGCTCCCTTCATCAAGTGCGCTCCAAACGGCTACATAAATGACACACTAATGACACACACTTTGAAGGGAGTAGGGCATAGGGAAGCTCACGAGAAATAAGCAAGTCCCAGTCGGGTCCGTCTCTTATTTGGTTCCCTGGAAACATTTCCGTTGTGCTCTGTGTTACTTGCAGCGTTTCTGTATTTGGTTGTGTTGTGAGTACTTGGAGCACACGTGTGTTGTGAAACTGATGGAGATGATTTTTTAATTTGCGGATGTTTTTTTTTTCTATTTGCATGTGTTTTTCTATTTGCACACGTTTTTTTTCTATTTGCATGCATCTTCTTTAGGTTGCAACATGTTGAGCTCTCTCGGCCACCGTAGCTTTAACATATTCAGTAATACAATTTATATTCAGTAATACAATTCATAACATATGTACATGTTGTAAGATAATATGGACTGCATGTGTATAAACATATTGAACTTTTTTACTCTTGCAGAAAATACACACATATATATAGAAATAAATAATGTAATATGTTTATTATATTTTTTAATTATTATAATTGAAAAATCTTGTGACTATTCACTCTAATTGCTAGTTCAGGTTTTGCTGAAGGCTACAGTTTGTCCGGTCAGAACAATGATGTCTCACTCAGGATATATTCCAAATCGTTGTTTTATTAAATGTGCATAGATGTGTGGTTCTGTGAACACAAAATACAGATATAAATATGTATAAACGTATATAAAACACAACCAGTATAAATGAACTTATATGTTAAAATACTGACGAATAGCGGTGAAATAACAATAATCTCTATGATAATATACTTAAAAAGGTGAGAACAGATGTGTGTGCGCTAATGCTGTACACGAGCCGTGCACGAGCTGTGCATGCGAGCATGACTACTGCTGCACATGCGGTCGAACCGAGATGTAAACAACAGAGCGCATGTTCGCGACTTGAGATAGAATCATGCATTCGAGATAACGGAATCAATATAACTATTATAAGAATGACATCAATATACATGGATGCTAATAATGTCACAGCAGTGAAATATAACTAAGTAAACAACTTTAACCACAGATGTAAACACAGATACAGGCAAATTAGCGATTACTGAGAATGTTCAACAATTATCTGATTACTTACAGTGTGATGCACGCACACGCACAATCAGTAAAACTCCTCCGATTTGGCTAATACTCTGTATCTCACTCTAAACTATATACACTTATTCAGCCGATCTACTTTTCCCTTCATTACCCGTCAACTCTCTTCACCGTCACTTCGCGAACTCCGGTGGAAAGTTTTGGAATAGTCCATTTCTCACTGAATGACAGGGGTGACTGGGAGAGTCCATGTGCCAAAGGGGAGCACTTTCTACAGCCGCCCCCAAATTCACAGTGTGAATTTGTCAACTTTAAGTGACTGCTACATTAAGTTCAAGGCTAGTCAGGTAGAGAGGGCAGACAAATAATTTTGGCTACAGGTCGGGTGTAAGTCTTGCCGTTAACCTGTATTTCCACAGATCTGACTCTCTTGTCCAACCCAGGAAAGACCTGAACAATTTTCCCTACAGGCCAAAGAGCGCGGGGCAGTTGTTGGTCCACTATCATGACTGTGTCACCGACCTGTAGATCAGCTTCTTCAGTTTTCCATTTCTGTCTGATTTGGAGGTTGGGTAGGTAGTGTCGAATAAAGTGCCTCCAAAAGTGGTCAGCCAAGAGCTGGCTATGTCTCCATCTCTTACGGCTCAGGAGTTCAGAGTCTTGGTATACCACTTGCGGTAATGAGGCATCTCGCCGCCCCATCAACAAGATGTTTGGGGTTACTGGATCTGGATCCGCGATGTCCGAAGAAGTGTAGCCAATGGGTTTGGAGTTGAGGATTCCTTCTATTTCTATGAAGACAGTTCTCAGCACTTCTTCTGTGACTGTCTGGCTGCCAATGGTGACATTAAGTGCAGCCTTCAAAGAACGGATTTCTCTCTCCCAACATCCACCGAAATGAGGTGAACTGGGTGGATTGAAGATGAATCTTATTTGTTGGCTAGCGAGTTGGGCTTGAAGCTCAGGATGAAGGGCAATGAATGACTCTTTCAGTTCCCTTTTTCCTCCTTTAAAGTTGGTACCTTGGTCGGACAGGAGCTCGAAAGGTTTACCACGCCTGGAGATGAATCGCCTTAAAGCCATCAAGAAGGAATCTGTGTCAATGCTGGTGAGTATGTCTATGTGAACTGCACGGGAAGTCATGCATTTGAAGATGATTCCCCATCTTTTTTCATTCCTGCGTCCCACCTTTATAGTGTAAGGTCCAAAGCAGTCCACACCTGTTGAATAGAAGACAGGTTGATGGATCCTCAATCTCGCCGGTGGGAGGTCTGCCATTTTTGGTGGATGTGGTTGTCTTCTCCATCTCTGACACTCTGGACATTGTCGCTGATGGTTTCTGACTGCAGCCCGTCCCCGTATCACCCAGTATTTCCTCCGAAGTTCAGCAAACACCCTATCTGGTCCTGGGTGATGTAGCCGATCATCATAGTCCTTGATTACTAGTTTGGTAGTTGGGTGAGATGAGTCAAGGACAATAGGATGTATTGTATCTTCCTCTAACTGGCTGATCTGACGCAGACGACCACCAACGCGTATGAGTTTGGTGTCCTCATCAAATTCCGGGGCTAGGCACAGCAATCGACTATTTTTTGGCAAGGATTTACCTGCCCTGAGGAAGGACAGTTCGTCTGGAAATGAGTCAGTTTGGCTCTGCTGGAGTACTGCAAGTTCTGCCTCTTTGTAGTCATCTGCCGTTGGGATATCGGTGGCCGCCCCGTTGGCATACTGGATGTAAGCCTTCAGTAACTCTGGAAGTGTATGGTATTTCTGTGGATCGGGAGTAGGTGGAGTGGTGGTTGATAGGCCAATGAAGATTGGCTTTCTCAATTCACTGTCCTGATCAGTGGTTGTAAATGGTGGCATCTCCGGCCAATGTTCAATTGTCTGTCTGAGGAATGTTGGGCCCTTATTCCATCTGCTTTCCTGGCCAATGTCACACAGCATTTTTCCCTTTGTGATGTCATCGGCAGGGTTCTCCTTTGATGGCACGTATCTCCAGTTATCAGACTCCGTGAGTTCTTGGATTTCTGCCACTTGATCAGGATTCTTGTTCAGTCGATTCTCTATTCCCCTTAATTGTGGCAGGACAGCTTCTTTGGGAGCATGTAGACATGGCATATGTTTGGCACGTAAAAGAGGGGTCGCGTAGCGCTGGATTCTGTCAACCTCTACTCTCACGATTTTGTCCTGGAGAAGTTGAATGGACTCTTTGTCTTGTCGAGACCTTGTCAGTACCTTCTCGTTTTGATACGGAAGAATGTCCATTTTCCACAGTTTCTCCACATTTGCATAAATGTCATTAGTGGGCCGTAAGCTGGTGAAAAGACATTGCTGGGGGGAAAGTCTGCTGGTTAGTTCTTGCGCTGGGCCTTGTAGTGTCCATCCTAGGCGTGTTCTCACAGCCGCAGGGCCACCAGGTGGACCCAGTCTGACTGGTTCTATGGGTGTGATGAGGTGAGGGCAGTCAGAACCAATGAGAACTACTGGTTTCACTTTGTGAAGGTGCTGCAGTGGAAGGCCTGCAAGATGCTTGTACTTCTTCTGGAGTACCTTGATGGGATGAGTGTGCTCTGCTAAACCCAGGCTCTTGGCTGTGAATGCGCTACGTATCATGAAAGCCTTACGAGGGTTAGCCACTGAAGACACAGTGAAGGTCACAGCCGCCCCGTGAAGAGTCTGTGTATCTTGCCTGACTGTACGGAGAACTAAGTCCTCTGGCTGACCCTTCAGATTCAACTTCTGCGCAGCTTCATGGAGGATGATGGTCCGCTCTGACCCATCATCGAGGATTGCATATGCCTCCATGGATTTGTTGCCATTTCGGAGTAGAACTTTAGCCACCTTCAGCAGAATTTTGTTATCACAGGTTGGACGATCTAGATACAAGACTGCACTGGCTGGAACCGATTCTTCTGTGGCTTTGCTCTGGTCATTTACATCATGTAAGGCCAGCAAGTGCTTTCTGTTACAAGATGAACAGAGGGCTTTCAGTGTACAATTAGCAGCATGATGACCACGCCCACAGCGCCAGCATCTATTCTGGCTTTTGATCCAATTCACCTTCTGCTCTTTGTTGAGTAACTTAAAGTTCTCACAGCCGCTCAGGAAATGTCTGTTGTTGTCGCAGTATGGACAGTAAACATTTACCCCTTCTCTCTTAGCAGCAATTGGTTTGAGTGGATAAACTGGTGATGCTGGGCTGGCCTTTGGTTTCTCTGTACCAAAGAGGATAGTAGTGGGTTTGCGGGGCTGTCTAGAGTCTCTCCTCAGCTCTCTCCTCGGCACTGTAGGAACTCTAGGCTGGCTGGTATAATCAGTTTGGTCATCCTGAACTTGTAGCTCGTACTCAAGCCAGTCTGCAAAGTCCAATAATGTGGGGATAGTGACATGAAGAGGATGTGTGTACCTCTTGAAACTGGACCTGAGATCATGTGGCAGTTTGCTCATCAGTCTCGACACGTGGGATCCACACTCCAACTCTACATTGCCTTTCTGACCCAGCTGTTCCAACATACTGACCAGGGAACGCACTTGGAGTCCGAACATGCGAAAAGTTTTCACATCTCCACTTCGAATGTTTGGTCCATCCATCAGTTCTGCAATGCGTTGTAAGGCTAGCTGATGTGGTTGGCCATACATTTTATTGAGGGCTCTCATGGTATTTGTGAAAGGAAAGTTTGAGTTACTGTATGAGTCTGCCACAAGTAGGGCTTCCTCCAACTTAAGATGGTCAGTGAGGATCTGATACTTGAATCGCTCGGTTGCATCCTCAGGCAAAATGTTCTCCAATGCTATTCTCAGTCGAGAGAACTCCCTAGGATCAGGGAATGTTAGGAAGGGAATGGTTGGAGCAGGGCCTCTGTACATTTTCTCTTGTATTGATGAAGGCTGATAAAACGCTTGTCTGTGGCCTGAATGCGGAAGTGGCATACTGTCATGTACTGTGGTGTCAAACTCTGACTGATAAGCTGGAAGGTGTTGGGAGGAACGAGAGTACATGGATTGAGGTGGGTCACTGTAACGTACTTGTGATGGTACTCTATCATGCATTGAGGAGGAAATGTCCATGTTTCTGAACTTCTCAGCTAATCCAATGCGCTCATCTATTGTAGCTGTGCACCGTTCCCTCATGGCCGTAGGCGGTGTTGGGGGGTTTGTCCGTGGGGCTGGAGTAGGACGGAACCGTTGTGGAGTCTCAGGGCTCACCACAGGAGAAAAGGGACCTGGAGATAGCACTGGTAAATTCACTGGCCTTGACGGGGCTCTCCTTTCTGCCTTAAGACTCTGAAGTTCGTGATGTAACAAAGCATTCTGTTGCCGCATCTCCTGTAATGCTGAAATAATCTCTGGAAGCTGGCTGGTTTGTAGCCTCAAGTCAGTGTTCTCGCGTTTCATCACCTGCAGCATGGATGTAAGCTCTACTTCCTCTTCTCCTCGCCCATAGAATCTTTCACTTTGCCATTCATCTCTCAGTGTCCAATCCTCATGATCTAACTCTTGACTAACAGGAGAAGTCGATCGTGTCTGTGCTGGTGACGGGACTCTGCTATGGCTAAAGTCTGGGAATGGCTGTCGATGTGACAATGGCGCACCAAGCTCATAATCCACTAAATGAGTCGGTGGGTTGATCTTTCTTCGTGGACGCACGACAGGCACTTCTCTCTCGGGTTGAGACATCTCTGTAGCAATTCACTGATCCGGCTCGAAGGACCATGAAAAATCTTGTGACTATTCACTCTAATTGCTAGTTCAGGTTTTGCTGAAGGCTACAGTTTGTCCGGTCAGAACAATGATGTCTCACTCAGGATATATTCCAAATCGTTGTTTTATTAAATGTGCATAGATGTGTGGTTCTGTGAACACAAAATACAGATATAAATATGTATAAACGTATATAAAACACAACCAGTATAAATGAACTTATATGTTAAAATACTGACGAATAGCGGTGAAATAACAATAATCTCTATGATAATATACTTAAAAAGGTGAGAACAGATGTGTGTGCGCTAATGCTGTACACGAGCCGTGCACGAGCTGTGCATGCGAGCATGACTACTGCTGCACATGCGGTCGAACCGAGATGTAAACAACAGAGCGCATGTTCGCGACTTGAGATAGAATCATGCATTCGAGATAACGGAATCAATATAACTATTATAAGAATGACATCAATATACATGGATGCTAATAATGTCACAGCAGTGAAATATAACTAAGTAAACAACTTTAACCACAGATGTAAACACAGATACAGGCAAATTAGCGATTACTGAGAATGTTCAACAATTATCTGATTACTTACAGTGTGATGCACGCACACGCACAATCAGTAAAACTCCTCCGATTTGGCTAATACTCTGTATCTCACTCTAAACTATATACACTTATTCAGCCGATCTACTTTTCCCTTCATTACCCGTCAACTCTCTTCACCGTCACTTCGCGAACTCCGGTGGAAAGTTTTGGAATAGTCCATTTCTCACTGAATGACAGGGGTGACTGGGAGAGTCCATGTGCCAAAGGGGAGCACTTTCTACAATAATACATGTTTAATGTTTTCATATACAACTAGTTAACATTACATAACATTAACACAAGCACACCTGAATATATACAGCAAAATGAACACTGAGAATGTGAATTATATAAACTCTGAGCTGAGTGTTAAATGAACACAGAAGCAGTGTTAAAGTTAATGAGAAAATTAAATGATTGATCGATTGATTGATTGATTGATTGATTGATTGATTGATTGATTGATTGAGCATTATTGCAGACACCTGATGTTGACATGCAAAAGCAATCAAGTGGACATTTTAAGTCACCATTATGGAGATTAGTGTTTGAGTTTGTTGGGTTCTGCTGTACAAGAGTTATAACAGACTGTCTAAATATCTATCATCTGTCTGTCTGTCTAACATTTTCTTTCTTTACAGGATTCAAAACACGGAAGAGGAAAATATTAAAAACTGTTGAACCAGACACTCCTGCTGCTGTCAGTCCCTCATCCAGACGCATTGTTCTTCTGGGTAAAACTGGTGTTGGGAAGAGTGCAGCTGGAAACACAATACTGGGAAAGAGAGAGTTCAAATCTGTGGTGAGAATGAATGCAGTAACCAGTGAATGTTCAGATAAACACGACACTGTTTCAGGCAGATCTGTGTCTGTAGTTGATACTCCTGGATTCTTTGACACAAAGATGAAACCGGAAGAGTTATTGAAAGAGATAGGGAGAAGTGTTTATTTATCCAGTCCTGGACCGCACGCTTTTCTCATTGTGTTCAGAGCAAATGACAGATTCACTGAACAGGAGCTGCAGATTCCTCAGATGATTGAGACATTGTTTGGTCATGAGGTGTTAAAATACTCCATTGTTCTCTTCACTCATGGAGATCAGCTAGAAGGAGAGACAGTAGAGAAACTCATGGAGGAGAACAGTGCTTTAAGGGATCTAGTTCAGCAGTGTGGAGGCAGATATCACGTCTTCGACAATAAAGATAAGAATAACAGAGATCAGGTGAATTATCTGCTGAAGAAGATTGACACAATGATAAAGCAGAATGGAGGAGGGAACTACAGTAATGAGATGTATGAAGATGCTCAGAGATTTAGGAGTGATAAATCAGGGAATGGACTTTGTGCATTTCTGTCCAAGTACTGGCCTCATATTTTAATAGGAGCAGTTTTGGTGGGACTGGTTGCTGCTACTGGTGGAGCTCTTGCTGTTCACTGTGGGTGTATAACCATCATTACTATAACTGAAAGTGCTGCTATAGGTGCTGCTGTAGGTGCTTTGGTTGGTGGTAGTTGTACAGCTGCTGTTTGCAAATGTAAGCATTAACATTTAATCTAATGATGACCTTAATGTTATACTGATATTATCATGAATAATTTGTATAATATGATTGATTATGTCTGGTTGTTAAATCAGGAAAATGTCTGGGCTGCATGAATCTTTAATCTTCTCAAACAATTTTTGATTAATTGATCTTTTGACTCATAATTTGATATGTGTAGAGTATCTCCGGTTGATTTGGCGAATGTATAGAATACTTAAATAATACTTTAATTATTAATTAATAATACTTTATTATTAATACTTAAATTAATAATAATAAAACCTAATAATTATTAATATGGGGTTGGACCAGATAAACTTTACATATTTAAATAAATCTCCCAAAAAGAGATGATATAACTATGTTTTACAGACAGGTTCAAATGAGCTCAATTGTATATCAGTACTCAATCAAAACGGAGTCTAATAAAATTCTAAAATATCAATTAGGTCTTTCAAATATCAACTCTAAGGATAGTCCCTGATGTGGAATTAATTTGTGATCTGATAATCCGTTTGTTCCGCAAACTGATCATGCGATCTTAATCAATTCTCACAGAAACGATCTATCTCAGAGACTCACAGGGAAGGCAAATTCGGGCCATGAATAAAAACCTTCCTGTTTTACAAAGATAGCCTCCTAGTTAATATTTTTTAAAGCTTGTGGTTTTGGATCACAACATCAAAGGGACTTGTACATGAGCAAGAGACAATTAAATGAATATAAGGTATTTAATAACATAAGCACTACATATACAGTTACTAGCATAACGTTACATGGATAGAGGTATATACAAACAGATAACAGGCAAAACACGGTAGGAGATTTAAAATGTAAGCAACAGTGTGTGTAAGAGAGAGAGAGAGAAGAGAAGATCCATTTGAATCACAGTTGGCTAAAATTCACCTGGACAGTTTAAACCTTTAAGACAACATGGGAAAAAACACAATTTTAATGCTCTGAAAGCTCGATAGAGGAATATACTTGCATAAAATGGTTCTCTTTATGTTGCTGAATAAGGCTGAGCAGGGTGACAGGCCTCGTCTCGGGTGTGTGTTGCGTCCAAGCGTCACATGGTTTGGCAGATGGTTCGGAGCGTGGACTTCCAAAGAAAGTTTAAAGGTCTTTGACGTTAATAAGAAACAATTCAGGCTAAGTTAATTTACTCGTCTGTGGTTTTAATTCAGTCCGCTATGAAAGTGTCAATGAAGCCATTAGGAACAGACTTCCTGGAGCTCGCTGGTAAGTTACTAGCATGGAAGTTAAAGGTTAAAAGCTTTCCAACTGTGGATTTGAGTGAGCCCCCAACTGACACGGTCCAGAGACCCCGAATATTTGAGATAGAGGGTTTAGTGTAAAGTTCACATAAATGGAAAAATCTGACATTCAACCTTTTTTACTTGTTCAAGAAATGCATTGTATTGCAACTCGAGACACTGATCACTGTAAATTACTGTAAATTCTTATTTTTCTGCATCAGTTTGCAAAAAATATACTGATCACTGGCACTATTTGCTGAGAATTAAACTGAACTGAACTAAGAAATCACTTCTTATACCAAACTAAATTAATCAACTGATGATATTCTCAAATGAACTGAACTGACTAAGCTGAATGATGATAATATTTTCCTTTTAAAGCAGAATTGGACTGTTTGCATTAGTGATTTTTTTTTCCCTGTTTTTCACTGTAAATCTGCATTGAAACAATCTGTTTCTTCAGAGATTTAATGTCTTATCTTCAGTTGATTTCATCTAAGGATGTGACTGAAGTCAGTTGTTGTTCTTGTGTTTTTCTTTTTTTCTGTTCTTGTTGTTTTACTTTCCTTTAGTGATTCTGCTTGTTTTATCAGTTATCCAATAATGCTCAATCATCACTTTATTGTATTTGTGGACATCAGGTTAAACTTTATTTACCTTTAAGAAAGAAGGCATGTTGTTTTAGTGGTCTGAATGTCTGTATTTTTAAGGAAATTGAGCAGTTTTATAGAAAAATAGTGTGATCATTGTTCAATTTTATTGCATTTTCTAATAATTTCCCAACTTAAAATATATATATATATACACAGATGTCAATCTCATGTTAATATATTTTTGCAAATAAAAAATCATGACAATTGCCTTATTTTTTTCTTTCTCATAAACAGTTAAAACACTGAAAATGTAAATTTGGTGTAGATTTATGCATTTTTATGGATTTTGACACCTTTAAAGAAAATGTGGAATTATTGTAAAATTATACTGCATTTCTGTATTTTTTATAGTGTGTTTTTCTGTAGTGTTTACTAAGTTTGATCTTTTATTATCACTGTCTCGGTACGTGTTTAAGACTTGTTCAGTTTGAATCAAAGGGATTCAATTAAGTTGATTACTTTAAAAGGGAAAAAGGAAACAAAACAAAAAGAAACGAATATATCTTTACTTCAGATGATATTCTCAAATGCGAACAAATACATTGTAAATAATGACTTTACCACATTTTACCAATTGTCTCTCAAAATTTGTTCATTCTATTTAAGTTTACTTTATTTCCTTACTCAAGCATAACTTTACAATTTTACATTAACTATTTAAGTAAACAAGTGGTGTGCTGCATTTCTTATGAACACACAAAGTTGCATTTTTTTTAACACAAGAAAGCTGTGCGTCTTAATAATAATAATTATTAAGACAAATTATTAATTATTAATAATGCACTTAAAAAATAATCACAGCTTATAGTCCAGTCATTTTAAGCCAAAATAGCGGTCAACATATAATAAATTGCAACCATATTGCAACAGAAGCAAACTAAACTGATTTTGTATAAGGGGAAAAAAACCCAAAGAATCAAAAAAGATCCAAATATATAGACCATTCATTAATTTTGTCCTGTGAAAAAATGTATCTTTAGATATCATCATGAAAATAACTGATTTGATCACTGCATCAAGACAAAATGAATTACAAGGTTTTTTTTTTTTTTAATTGTTTGTTAACATGGGCAAACGGTGCATCCGTGCTGTGCTAATTTGCATAAATACCTCAGCAGATCTACACATTGGGTAGTATAGCAGGTGTAACTTAATAAAACATTAATTGAAACATCATCTAAACCTCTGTTAATTCTCAATAAGAGCTTGTCTATGTATAGATTCATGAGGTCTAAAACATCCAAATGTTCAAACAAACTCTTTAGCTATTAAACATCAAACACTCAGTTGTAAAAACACAGGAAGTAACTGTGGAAACACACACACACACACACACACACACACACACATATATATATATATATATATATATATGAAGAGTTCAGATGCAAGAGCCTCTAAGCGCCATTTGAAATTTTCTTCTAAAATGATCATTTTTATCAAGCTTGTATATTTAAGTTCAGTAATTTCACTTAAATGGCAATAAAGATTACCTATTAATTGTCATTTAAGTGAAATTACTGAACTTAAATATACAAGCTTAAATATATATATATATGATATTATACACATTGCTATGTTGCTATTTCCTCAGTAGACGTAATACCAGAGAATGTCTAATATGTCCATTGACGGACTAATACCATACTGGAGATTGCACGTGGACTACACTACCCACAATGACCTGTTGTAAACAGGAAGTGCGTCACGGAATTTCAAACCCGTAGAGCTCACAGACACGGAATGATCAGTGTTTCAGAAATACATGATAGTGTTTTGTTAATAAATCTTTATCTAAAACTAAAGTACGGCTTTATGTGTCGGTTTTGGTCGCATATATTCACGATCTTTTACTCTGAGGAACTGATTCATCAACACTAAAGCTTGTCTAGTCCAGAACACAGACAGACAGGATAGATTTTTTACACTTGAATCATCAGATTCGGATGCTAATCATCCAGACAGAAGCAGAACCAGCGGCTGAAGCGGGTCCCCAGCGGGTCCAGGGCAGGATTTGAAGTTTGGACGATGATCAGCTGATCTGGGTCTCAGCGCTCGTGCTTAGTTTGTTGAGGCTGCGGTCCCGGTTTCTATAGGTAACGGGCACGCGCACAGATTTCACCATAATAATTACTCCGTTTCTCCTTCTGGGAATCAGATATGGTAAATATCCTCTCTCTTACGTATGTAAAACACAATTCACACGTAAAACCAAAGAAGTAACAAAATACAATAATTACGGTACTGTACAACTAAACAAACACGTGGTCTAGAGGTTACAGGTCTGGGCTCGAAACAGAGATTGAAGGGTCGATCTGTATCACTATTTTACTGTTACACAAGTTACATGTTGTTATTATAGTAATTACAACAATATTTATGCATAATTAATTACATGGAACTGAACTTAATCATAAATAGTAAGTAACGTTACACAGTTAACTATTATAACTCAGTAGGCTATTTATGAATAATTACACTTTAAAGACACCAAAATAAAGTGTAACCATTCAATCCACATAAGGTTTAATCTGTTAACTACTAAACCAGTAATAATTAAATACGTTTTTAATCTGTAATGTGTCATTATTTTGGACATCTTGTAATTAAACATTTCTATTTAATGCTAAGGTATTTAAATATACAGTGTAGCCTTATATAATATATTGTTCTAAAACAATTTATACATCCCTGGGCCATGTGATATTATTCTGAAGTTTAATACAGCACAATCATAAAATTATAGTAATGTAAATGTAGTATAAAATGTATCTCATCTTCATATTTTTCAGACGTCAAAGCAGAAGAAGGGTCTCAGAGGTGAGTTGAGTCAGTGTGTGTTTGTCTCTCTTATGTCTGATTGTTGTGTGAGCTGTGGTGTTTCCTCGTCTCTCAGGCTCTATAGATGACGTGTTAGGAGATCTGCTGGGTGGTGATGATGATGAAGGTCCAGTGAAGGTGCGTTCGCCAGCACTTTTGTCCAGCAGACCCTCGGCCGCCCTCACGTCACGCAGCGGGAAGAGGTGTGTGTGTGTGTGTGATGATGATGATGGATGATCATCCTCTAGTATGAGTCTCAACAGTCTGAGAGATGAACTGAGACACATAGAGTCCGTCACCTGTGTAAACGTCACGTAAAGATGCTGTGTGTGTGTGTTCAGGTCGCTGCTGGACGATGATTTCTTCAGTAAACTGGCAGAAGAGGCTGAGAAAGATGAGGAGGTGAGACACGAGCTGCAGATCAACATCTTTAAACACTCGTCACGTTCATAAAGCACTTTAAAAACTACAGAGTAAACTTAAATGCTGGACAATTAAAAGAAACTAAGATAAATCAGGCACACAATTAAGGTACGTTACCTTGCTACATGTGGCTACTGTAGTAATAATTAAACATTAAGCATATTTACACGTGACTAACCCTAAATCAAACCTAAACTGAACTCTATAGTAAGTGCATGTTGTTAATTAATATTACTAAGTACTTAAATGTGTAATTTCAGTGTCATTAAAATAAAGTAACCCACATTTATTAGTGTAAAATTCACAATTAGACATATTAATAAATACAATATAAAGAAATAATACATGCAGCTCATTTCTAGAAAAATCAGATGGAAGTCCAGATTAACTTACTTAGTGTTATTTAATTGATATATTATTATATTGTTTATTAAAATGTTCGTTGGATTAGTTTTTGTTTGTGTATTTTCTATTTTCAAAAGTAACAATCATTACAATATTGCGTTACTCCCTTAATTTTTCCTGGAAAGTTACGTGAAATTTTTTTTTTAACGTTTTTTTGTTATTTTAGTACTTCAAGTTAAGCTAAACGAAAATGAGAAATGTTGCCTTGTAAAGTAAAATAAAATACGTTTGTTAAAAATATTTTACTTAATAGACAAGGAAAACATTTTTTATGTAAATAGAAAAAGTATTTTCTATTTTCATTTGAATGTTTTAGTGAGTTTTGTTGTGTGTTTTGGTCATTTTATTACATTCATCTGTTTTTTTTTATGTCTATATACTTTTATATTTTTTTATTTCCGTTTTAGTACTTTAAGTTAAACTAAACAAAAATGTGAAATAATGCCTTGGAAACTGAAATAAAATAAGCTTGTTTAAAAATTAATACGACTGAATATGTTAAATCTAATCAATAAAATTAAGGCAACAGATTACAATCAATATTATTAATTAAATTGAACAAATTAGAATTGAGTAATACTTAACCAAATGAATTACTTAAAAGTTAACCATTTAAAATGAGTAGAATTTACACATTTCTTTTAACAAAAATATCGGAAAAACAGACTGACGTCAACGATGAATTAAGAACTCTTTTTTTTATTGCCATAATTGAAGACACTTGATGATAACAAGCAGAATCACTGAAGGAGAAAAACGTAATTTTATGTCACCATTATGGTGATCAGTGTGTGTTTTAGTTGGACTCTTGACTCTTAAATCATTAACTTGTAGGGATGCACCGATATGAAAATTTTGGTCAATACCGATAACCGATAATTCTTTAAATTTGAAAGCCGATAACCGATATATCGGCCGATAAACTTAAATCCAAATTTTTATCTCATTTTGAGAGCCTGATTACAAAAACAAAAGTCTCACAATTAAATCCATGTCCATGTTATAGTGTTGTATAGCCGATATGACAGATTTGCGCTGCACATGTTGTACCGAACCATATTTTCATTTTTTGAAGAGATTTCAATCATATTTCAAGAAATTCAAAAACATAAACGGTGCTCAACAAGTGTCTCAGATGAATTGAATAATACATTATTTATCGGCTTTAATATATCGGCCACATTTTCATACCAGGCCGATAACGATAACATTAAAAATGAACATATATCGGCCGATACCGATATGCTGGCCGATATATCGTGCATCCCTATTAACTTCAGATGTTGTTTGGCTGTTGTACGGGAGCTATAATTCACGAACTGAATCACTGAACTGATTTAGAGCTCAGTTCAGGTTTACCTAATTAATTATAGCAGGTTTTAGTTGTAGTTATTGGTAAACTCTATTCTATAAAGACTCTTGATCTCTTGTATTGGACGTGTTTGTGTCTCAGGTGTCTGATGTTTCTGAGGCCGACCCTGCCGCTCTGCTGGACAGCATGAAGGTAAGCCAAGCTGCTTTCTGATTGGCTGAAATATGAGCGGTGACGTCCTCAAACGTGTGCCATCACTCCAGGACATAGACGACATGGATGCGGATCTGTTCAGCTCAAAGAAGAAGCCGAGCTCAGCTCCGGTCCAGAGGAAAGAAGTGAAAGGAGGAGATAAGAGCAAATCCACAGGTACGTTTCCTCACAAGTGAGATTTGAACAAATGATGCGAGTGTGTTTAAAGTTTGATGTGTTTTTACAGAGGAAGCAGTGATAAAGCCCAGTTCGGCTCCGGCCTCCACAGCGAGACCTTACAAGAAGTTCAGCTTTCTGGGTAAGAGCAGAACCCTCGACTGTCTGACCGTGTTATCATGCTTCATTTGGGGTTTGATTGTCTCCATTTGCTCCATTTTCCTGCTGCATGTGGTTCAGATGATGAAGGTGGGGGTGTTGATCCTCCTCTTCCTCCTCCTGATGATGAAGGTATCACAACAACGCTTTTACACGAACCTCCGTGAGATAGAGCACTGAGAACCCGTTCTTCACGTCTCACAGGTCACATGGACGGTTCGTTGGATGATTTACTGGACGATCTGGAAGACAAGCAGAAGACGATGAAGAAAAGCGAGTCTTCCTCACCTGTCGCTTCTCAGAAAACTGAGAGGAAGAGGGACGAGCTGACGTTTGATGATGAGGATGATCTGATGGACGCCCTGGGCTTCAGAGAAACACACAAATCAAACGGAAATGGAGCGACTGTGAAGAAAGAGAGGTATGTCTGGACTGTTGAATTCTGGGAGTTTTTCTTCCCTTTGGATGAAATCAGTGAAAAATGCTGTTTTTCTCATCAAAATAATACAATTCGAGCCACAATCATAAACAACAACCCTGTTAGTATAGATTGAGCAAATAAATAACACATTTATACATTAATTATTAATAATATTAAATACTTTTCTTTTATATATAATCCAAGTAAACAGAAAACATTTCAGGTTCGTCCAATAATAAGTGTTGCTTTCTCCATTTTTTTTTTTGTGTAAATTTCTAAATGTTTGGATTAACAGAAACGTATTTAGTACTTATATTAATACTACAACAACAACTTTTACTACTACTAATAATGTTTATATAATTATCACTATTAAGTACTTTTCTGTTATATATAATCCAAAGAATCAGAAAATCAAACATTATTAGTATTAACATTGTATCATTATTTACATATTTTATTTATATATAATTTATTTTGGCACTTTTTTATAACCAGTGCCGCTTTTTCTATTGCTTAAGTATTTTGTATTTATATTATATTATTTTGATTTATTTTAGTATCTTTCAATAAGCAATGCTGCTTTTTTGTAACCAGTACAATTTTATTGTTTATTTTTATTTATTTATTATTTATTAATTTTTATATTTTATTTTATGGTCATTCTGTAGCCAGTTTTTATTTATTTATTTATTATTTATTCATTTTATATTTTATTTTATGGTCATTCTATAGCCAGTGTTTTTTTTTTTAGTTTATTATTTATTCATTTTATATTTTATTTTATGGTCATTCTATGGCCAGTGATTTTTATATTTATTATTTATTCATTTTATATTTTATTTTATGGTCATTCTATAGCCAGTGATTTTTATATGTATTATTTATTCATTTTATATTTTATGGTCATTCTATAGCCAGTGTTTTTTATATTTATTATTTATTCATTTTATATTTTATTTTATGGTCATTCTATAGCCAGTGTTTTTATTTATTTATTATTTATTCATTTTATATTTTATTTTATGGTCATTCTATAGCCAGTTTTATTTATTTATTTATTTATTATTTATTCATTTTATATTTTATTTTATGGTCATTCTATTGCCAGTTTTATTTATTTATTTATTATTTATTCATTTATTTTATATTTTATTTTATGGTCATTCTATAGCCAGTTTTATTTATTTATTTATTTATTATTTATTCATTTTATATTTTATTTTATGGTCATTCTATTGCCAGTTTTATTTATTTATTTATTATTTATTCATTTATTTTATATTTTATTTTATGGTCATTCTATAGCCAGTGTTTTTTGTTTATTTATTATTTATTCATTTTATATTTTATTTTATGGCCATTCTATATCCAGTGACATTTTTTCCTTATCTTAAGCAATTGTTTATTATTTTATTATTATTTTTTTACATTTTTTATTATTTAAATTGTTTTATTTTTTAATAACCAGTGATGCTTTTTGTTTCTTTCTTGCGTTGATTGTCTTGAATATGTGTGTATATATATTCACTTTATAGTCAGTCAGTTTGAGTGCAAAACCATTAAAAATTAAATCAATCTTGAGATGGCATAATTTAATATATTACCATTTAAAGCCAATGTTTGTCTTATATAATCCTACAAAACACATGGCACCCCAAATGGTTTTGTGTTTATATAAAGTACACACTGCTGCTCCGTCTCTGCTTTTGTGACTGTGTGCACTGAGAAGTGTGTGTCCGTGATGTGTGTGTGTCTGTCCTCCTCAGCGATCCTCCTCCGAGAGCTCGCACCAAACTGGATGAGATCTTGGGCCGAGGGACGTCTCCTCGTCTGCTGGAGAGACCCGTGACGGGAGAGAAGAGCTCGACGGGAAGAGGTTAGGATCTCAGATTACTGTGAAGGCCACGGATCACTCAAGATACTATAAAAAGAGAATGATTCAAAGACACACACAAATCACAGTCTTTCATCAGTGTTCTAGATCACATCACGGCTCAAACAGAGGAACATTCGGTTACACTTTATTTTAAGGTGTCATCGTCGCAGTGTAATTATACATTTATGTACAGAGTATTTTTAATTAACTACATGTACTTACTATAGGATTAGGGTTTGGTTGAGGGTTAGTTGCATGTAATTATGCATAATATACTGTTATTACTACAGTAAGTACATGTAACATGTGTTAATGTACATGTAACATGTAACAATATGTTACCAGGACACTGTAAAATAAAGTGTCCCATTGAATGCATGAACTCGTTGATAGTGTACATGAATGCACTTCGAATCAAAGCGTCTGCCAAATGCATAAATGTGATCAATGAATGATAACCGCTGGTCCTGTTGTCTGCAGCGCCTCTGGTGGACGAGGAGGGCTTCACGTTCGGCTCATATCAGCCCACGATGGCTTCGACCCCAGAGGAACGTCAGTCCCGGAGACAGTCGGTCAGGTGAGTGCACACACACACACACACAAATTGTGAAGATAGGTACTCTTAATTTCTGAGAAACTGATCAAAATGAAGGTAGTTTATGCTTAAGTTATTTTTCTGATCCCATTGGCAGAGGATTTTGCTTATAAATGTATCATGATTGGTTTATATATTTGTACTGCGACAAGACAAGGCAAAAATACTGTGTCTTTTGATTTTAGACACGAGGGCTGCTTACACCAGCCAATAATACCAAAAATTATCCAGACACTAGATGTAATTTTTGATATTTGGGTCCAAAAATTGAAGTGTTTTTTTTTTTTTATTTCGCACCTTTTTACACACAATGTGAGAAATGTTGTCTGAACACATCTTGGTTTGACTGTATATCAGTTTATCACTGTATTGATTCATTGATAAAGCTAAAAAGCTTGTGTTTGGTGTCAGATTCTCGACTGAAGACGTGAGCGCTCACTCGCCCGAACACAAACCCAAACCCTCGTCACGTGCCGTCCGGCCCCGATCGGACTGGCTCGGCCTGAAGCGGGAGGAGGAAGAGGAACAGACGAAGGAGGAACCCAAACAACCCAGACAACCTGTCCCAGAATCCCCGAAGACTCCAGCGTCTCCATCATTACCGGCTGGAGAAGAGACGCCCGCACCCGCCTCTCTTAAACCCAACTCGAGAGACCAAGACCAGGACTGGCTCTCAGGAGCGCTGAGTCGCAGGAAAACACAGCCCGGCAGCCAATCAGAGGAAAGAGAGAGCAAACAGGAAGTGACGTCGGGTCCGGCTGAGGATGTGGTTCTCAGGTGAGGGTTTGTGAATGAATGTCGTGTCGGATGGAGATGCAAAGGTTTGCTGTAATGTGTGACGTGTCCGCAGCTCTAAATCAAACGCCTCACGAAGACGAGCGGACGAGCCCCCCGTCACAAACACAGAGCACAGGTACAGCCACGCTAACACTGCTGAGGGCGTGCGACACTTCATGTGACACTAACTCTATGTGTGTGTGTTTTCCAGCAGAGAGTCCACTGGCATCTCTATCCAACACAACACAAGCACAGAAACGCAACATAAACCTGGTACAGTCAAACATTGCTCTCACTATAATACTCTTATCAACTGTACCGTCATGGAAAACTCAAAGTTTTGAAGAGTCATGAAAGTTTGACTGAAAATAAATATTAGAGGTTAGCTAGAAATTGCTTTTTTTTTTTACTTCTAGATCATGATTATCCAATCAAAAATTATTTTTAATTGGATTATGGAAATGTTTTCATTCATTTCAGCTAGGGATGGGAAACGATTAATCGCGATTAATCCCATCCAAAAAAAAAGTTTGTGTTTACATAATAAATGTGTGTGTAGTGTGTATAATTAACTTGTGTATATATAAATACCCACACATGCATGTATATATTTAAGAAAAATGTGTTATTTATATATCAAATATTTATATTTATATATAATATTAATTGTGAATAAATATATATAAAATATATACATGCACATATTTCTTAAATATATACATGCATGTGTGGGTATTTATATAAATATACAAATTAATTATACACACTACACACACATATATTATGTAAACACAAACTTTTATTTTGGATGCGATTAAATGCGATTAATCGTTGCCCATCCCTAATTTCAGCTGATTTTGGTTTCTACGGTTAGTTTCTATTCCTGTTCAGGAAACACCGTTCTGTTCTGTGAGAAATCCAATTACAAAAGTCTTCAAAAGTAATGACTTTTAAAAATTAAAATCAACCAATAATATTTAAATTTAACCAGCAATTAATGTATTTAAATACTTAAAATAATAATAATGCATTATTAAATATTACCATGACGTATTTGTGTGTTCTGAAAACGAATAAAGTGAAATAAATAAATAAATAAAATAATAATAATATATAAATAATAAAATTATAAGAATATGTATTATGAGAATTAAATATTAACTTGATTCATAAATATTTTTTTAGGGCTGGGAAACGATTAATCGTGATTAATCGCATTCAAAATAAAAGTTTGTGTTTACATAATATATGTGAGTGTAGTGTGTATGATTATTTTGTATATATAAATACATACATATGCATGTATATATTTAAGAAAAATGTGTTATTAATATATCAAATATTTATATTTATGTATAATATATATATTTTATATAAAATAATATATGTATATTGTATAATTAATTTTGTATAAATATATATAAAGTATATACATGCAAATATTTCTTAAATGTTTACATGCATGTGTGTGTATTTATATATACAAAATAATTATACACACCACACACACATATATTATGTAAACACAAACTTTTATTTTGAATGCGATTAATCGTGATTAATCGTTTCACAGCCCTAATTTTTTTATTACATTTCAGAAATCACGTATGAGAATTTACGGACCGTTTCTTCATTATCATGAAAATGCATGTTAATGACGAACATCTTATTGGTGCTGAAATGTGTGTAAATGAATGTGTCGGATTACAGTGTCTGTTGTTCCAGTGTTTACACCAGCGGAGGACCTGCGTCCTGCTGCACCTGTGACACACACACACACACCTCTGGCTGCAGACAACCTACAGCAGCTGCTCTTACAGCAACAGGTCAAACACACACACACAATGAAGTAAATTAAATTAAAGAAATTTACCACCAGCAGACACTTTACTCTGACATGCTAAAACAGCAGTAACTGACTGGGAAATAAAAATATAACTACTTAAGTCACAAAAACTGTTCAAATTAAATTAATTGACATCAGAGAACATGTGAATGTGAAGTTAAATTAAATTATATTAGCAAAATAAGGTGAAATTAATTCTGAATGCAGCTGGTGTGTTACAAGTGTGTTTGTGTCAGCTATTTGAACGTGTTTTGTCCGATCAGAATGCAAAACGGTGTGAAAAAATATATGTGTGTGTGTGTGTGTTCAGGTGAGGAGCTCACAGCTGGAGAGAGATCAGAATCAGATGCTGTTAGAAAGTGTCCAGCAGAGGCACAAACAAGACACTGAGATCATGGAGAACATGCACAGGTAACACACACACATACACACACTCAATCTCAGAAACACACAGACACTCATTCACACTCTCATTCAATCTCTCACACTCGCACTCTCTCACTCAAACTCACACTCTCACATACATACATCACTCTCTCACTCTCAAACTCACACACTCACACTCTCACTCAAACTCACACACAAGCACAAGCAGACACACACACTAGCACTCTCACTCACTCAAACTCACACTCACTCTCTCTCTCGCTCACTCTCTTGCACCCAAACTCACTCTCTCTCTCACTCAATTTCAATATAGCTTTATTAGCATGACTGTGTAACACAATGTTGCCAAAGCATCAACATATTATATATAAATAATAGAACAAACACACAGAACATATATGTATAGATCATGTCATATAGATCATGTCACATGTAGCATAGTAAATAAATAAACACAGTATTATATATTAATAAATGAATCAATACAATTAGCTGTCTCTGGCCTTGTGAATAGCTAACACATATTTGGCCGCTAGTGCAGCTGTATTATCATCTTCTCCGAGTAACAAGAACATTTTCTCAGTGTCACTCAGACCAGAGAATGATGGGATCAAGGATTCAAATTTGGGCAGAAAAGTTTCTCTAATATTGGTATTATATATTATATACACTCACTCACTCACTCACTCACTCACTCACTCACTCACTCACTCACTCACACTCTCTCATTTAAACTCACACTCTCTCTCTCGCACCCAAACTCACTCACTCACTCATTCTCTCACTTACTCACTCACTCACTCACTCAAACTCTCACTCACACTCTCTCACTCTCACACACTGAACTCATGGAGAACATGCACACACACTCAAACTGTGTTAAAAGAGCTATTCTTTACACGCATGTGTTCTGGTGTCAGAGCGCGTGTGAAGCTGCTGGAGGAATCGTCTGCTCAGCGAGAGTCCCGCTTGCGTCAGGAGAACGAGGATCTGGCGGAGAGACTGGCGGCCGTCACACGTGTGGCGGAGCAGGAGCGAATCGAGATTCAGAACCAGCTCCAGCGCAGACTCACACAGAGCCAACAGGACCGAGACCGAGAGGTGGAGAGACTCCGAGACCTGCAGAGGTGACACACACACACACACACACACTCGCATTACAAGTAACTTGAGTTATGTAATCAGATTACTTTTTCAAGTAACTGGTTTACAACAACATATCTGAGTTACTTTTTAAAATAAGTAATGCAAGTTACTTTCTTTTCTTATTCCGGCGCTGTGTGTAAACATGATGGTTATTGTAGTTCTAGACAAAATGAATCAAATCAGTCAAATGCAGAATCCAAATACCGTCATGCAAACCTCCAATAACTAAAGTCAGTTAATGGTCACGTGACGTGCAGATCAACATAAATCTCATCGTTTCTTTAGTAAGCATTTTATTGTGAATGTTTAATTACTGTTTTCATTTTCATTTACTTATTAGCTCTTCATTAAAAAAAGAATAACTTTTGCTCAAATGTTTAAGCCTTGTAAAAGTTGATGGTGGTAACAGAAATAAACGGGCGAACCCACCCGAGTGTAAAACGAGCTGGTTTGTTTGACTTGTGTGTGACAGGAAGTCCATCCTGGAGATGAAGAGAGATCACGAAGAGCAGATCCAGCACCTGAAGAAGCTGAAGGACGAGGAGATCGACGCCGTGACCAGCGCCACGTCCCAGACCAGGTGAAGCCCGCCAGCGATCACACACACAGAGCAATCTCTCGCCCGCCCGCTCTCATCGTGTGTGTGTGTGTGTGTGTGCAGGTCTCTGACGGCCGTCATCGAGCAGATGGAGCTGTTCTCCCGCAGGCTGGGCGACCTGTCGTCTCGTGTGGAGAGTTCACATGAGCACACGGCTCAGGGGCTCGAGCTCGGAGCCAGACAGAGAGACCAGCAGCTCAGAGGTGCATCTCTACACACACACACACACATGCACATCTGCTCATAGTTCGGCTCGGTTTACACCTGGTGTTAAGATGCGTTTTAGTCGATCGGATCGGCACCTGATGTTTTATTCCATCTTCAAACACTTCTGTCCTGCTTTCTTCAATGGGAGGGTGTGTGTGTGTGTATGTATGGGTTTGCAGATCTAATGGACAAAATAAACTCACATATGAACACACCGGAGAAGACGGAAACATACGGAGAACATCAGCTTTAGTTTCTGCTCTGACAGACAGTCGAACACTGAGTGTGTGTGTTATTAATCAGGAATGGAGAGAGAACATTGTGCTTTGTACATTTTTCATCTTCAAACCAAGCCTGAGTCTTCAGCCGATAGTTTAAATCCCATCTAGCTAGTGGACTTCTCATAATGTTCACTCATTAGGTCCGATGGTCTTCTGTGGCTGTTTGAACACATTCGATCACATGAGCGTTTACACAACGGAAGCAATTCGGTTAAAGGGATATTCCACTTTTTTGGAACTAGGCTCATTTTACCACTCCCCCAGAGTTAAACAGTTGGGTTTTACCGTTTTCGAATCCATTCAGTCAATTTTTTTAGTAGGAAAAAAATATACTACGGAAGTCAATGAGACCAGAAACCGTCTGGTTACTGATATTCTTCAAAATATCAAAAAATCGGCTGAATACATAAAAAAATGGTCAAACCCAACTGTTTAACACTGGGGGAGTGGTAAAATGAGCCTATTTCCAAAAATAGTGGAGTATCCCTTTAAATGTGTTTTCGACTACTTATAGAAGTGGGCAAAAATGGACAAGCTCAAACCGGTTTTGACCCCGTTTACACCTGTATTTATTGTCGTCCACCTGTGATCCCATCGACCAAATCTTAATACCAGTAAACGGAGCATTTGAAGATTTTAGAAGAGCATGAGGAACTAGGCGTGCAATTAAAATGCATCAAATTATTTGTTTTTCCTTGAACTATGGAAGTTTTCTTTCGCCATAGTAGAATAAAAAATAAAAACGGTAACTATGACTTTTTTACTCACAGTTCTGAGAATAAAGTAAGATTTGTGAGATATAAGCTCACAACTGCACAAAAAGTCAGAATTATGAGACAAAATTATGCAATTACCCTGTTTTTTTTAAATTCCTTGGCGTAAACTGTTTTTTTAAACTGTTTGCTGTTTTTATTTTTTATTTATTCTCCCTTGTTACTGTATTTTATTTTATTTTTAAAAGCCTCCCGTGGACAGGTGTTGAAATTTAGCATGTATGCTATAATCACTAAAAACAAATGCATATGGTTCGTCCAATGTAATTGTATGTCCATGTCAAATAAAGATATAAATAAATAAACAAGGGATAGGAGACAAAATTATTTTATTAGAATCCAAAAATTATAAATATGTGTCTAAGCAGAGAATTAAATGCCAGATACAGTTTATTTTGTAACCAATAATAACCAAAAAAACTATGTGTTCTTCATAATGCTGAACTTTTAGTTGCAGTATAAACGAGCCCGAAACACACCGGGACTCTTATTTTGAAATGTCTGTTCTCATTCAAACATATGAGGGAGATAAAACATGCACAATTTCAACCATCTACAACACATTTCAGTATATAAAATGATAAATATGATATATATCTTCACACCATGAAGAAAACAGTCATAAATCAATCAATAAGCAATCTATGAGCATTAAATCTGCAGTATTCGATGATTGTAAGCCACACAACAGTGCTAGGTGTTCTTTTTGAATGCAATGTAATAGTCATATTAAACCATAATATGATTCCTGTTTTGCAAACTCAAATTTAAGACCTCTTAATTTAAGAAATTTAAGCCATTTAAGATTTTTTTTTTTTATTTAAGATATTGCCATTTAAAATATTTTTTTTAACTTAAAAGCATTTAAGACGTTTTAAAAAGACCCTTGACGACCTAATTCACTATCGCACGTGCATTCCCGAACACCTTTTACAGTTCACACACATCTATTTTCATTTTCTATAAATTTGAGCGAAACAAAGGAGCTGATGTGAATGTGTGTGTGTTTGTGGCTCAGTGCTGCAGGAGCGTTTGAGTCAGCAGCAGCGCGAGATGAGCGAAGAGAGGTCACGGCTCAAAGAGGTCATCGCCAAGATGGACACACAGCTGGGCGAGCAGCAGAGACAGCTGGAGAAGGTGGAGAAACACAACACACACTCAGTTACATGCTGTGAACATGAATGAAACATCAGTCAGACCGTTTAACAGTCGCTTTTACACCGTCGGGCTGAGCAATGTAAACACAAGTTAAGAATACAATTAAAAGAAATATTCTAGACGGCATCAGTGTCGACCCACACCTGGGACATGTGAACTCCAAGATATGTTTTAAGTGAACATAAACGGTTGAGAAAGAAAACACTAATGGATATGTGCGTCAGCTCTTAAAGTGACAGCAGCCTAATATTCTTGGGCTGGATCTGGGCCGACACTGTTGCCATCCTCCATAACACTTCGTTATTTACATCTCACACCATCAGTAAACTCGTGCTTAATTCGAGAGCTCTGTTATCAGCCCCACAATTTGAAATACACCCGTAACCGTCTGGATCGGCTCAGACTAGAGCGGTCGAGCAACAGGAACGGGAAAATCTTCTCATGATGTTACGCTGGTTTGTGTGTTCAGGAGCGCTGGCGTGTGACGTCAGAACAGGCCAAAGCAGAATCCTCTCTGAGAGGACTGGAGGAGGAGAGACGGACCATGATGCAACACTTCAGCATGGAGAGAGAGGAGCTGGAGAGGGCAAAGGTCAGGCACAAAATGACATCATATCATTCATTAAATATGAAGAAAATGATAAATTCCAGTGATTTTTTTTCGCAATACAAAAATGCAACAGTATCTATTGTGGATAGTGACACAATATACATTGTGTATTGTGTATAGTCCAACCAAAATAAAAATGTACTGTATGTGTGTATTGTATAACAATATTTTGTTGTGAATCGTGACATGAGGGTATTGTTACTCTCTCTCTCTCTCTCTCTCAGAGCGCTCTGCTGGAGGAGCAGCAGTCCGTCATGACACACTGCGCTGAAGAGCGGCGGAAACTGGCGGCCGAGTGGAGCCGCTTCCACACGCAGGAGATGCTTCGACAGGAGCGGGTCGAGAGAGAGGCCAGCCGCCTCATGGAGAGAGACGCGAACAGAGAGGGATCCATCCTCAGCATGGCACAGGTGTGTGTGTGTGAACCTTCACACACTATATCAGCAGATCACAGCACAGGGCAACAACTCAACATGCATTCATTCATACTTTACAGCTAATATTAACCCTCTGATGGTCTTCCTTTATGAGTCACGTCCTGGGACTTCCCGGTCAAAAGTGACCGGAGGCCTAAAAATGAAACTTCTTCCATCTCAGTAAAACCAATGCAATTTATTTTTGTTCTATAATAGTTATTCTTTTTAATTTAGTGTTTTGAGACAATTTGATTGAATTTATTAATATTTATGCAATATTTATTGTCTATTTTTTCAATGGAAATATATATATATATATATATATATATAAATATATAGATTATTTAAAAAAAATATTAATGCAGTATTTTTGTTTAATATAGAGTCTAGGCCTTCAGAAAAAAAATATTTTTTAAAGAAAATTATCACCATCTGGTTACAGTATAGAGAAAGCGTAGAGTCATGGTGTAACCACTAGATGGCATGTACAGCTCTCTATGTAGAAGCATGTGAATTTCCCAGCTGTTTATAAACACTTTTTTTTTTTTTTTGGTGGATTTGAATATATAGTTGAAACAATCTCAAAATGATTTCTTATTAAAAAAATTGTAAAAAAAAATTAATAAATAAAAAATTGTGAATTTTTGTGTTTTTGTCAATTCCCCATTCATTTCCTATGGGGGTCATTTTTGACCATTAGTCACAAAATCATGACTAATTTTTTTACGACCACTTAGCACGCTCGGATCATGAACTCAAATTTTTTTTGTGTTCACATACCAAATGCCACAAATGTCACCAAGTTTCGTAACATTACGATAAAGCTGTGATTTGTAGAAATTCAGAGAATTTTAGTTTTTTGTAAATTTCCCATTCATTTCCTATGGGTCGGTCATTTCTGACCGAAGAGTGTGACTATTTTTTTTTACGACCACTTAGCATGCTCGGATCATGACCTCAATTTTTTTTTTGTATTCACATACCAAATGCCAAAAAAGTCACCAAGTATCATCATAACCTTCTGATGAAGCTGTGATTTTTAGAAATTCAAAAGAGAAAATGATTCGGTCAGAAGTGACCGAGGACCATCAGAGGGTTAAAGCAATAGTTCACTTCAGAATGAAATGAAACTCTATAAAGGAAACTAAATCTGCCAGTAGGTGGCGATAACTGACTAAATAAACGGCTGATTCATTCAGGAATTGAGTAAATGGCTCTCTTTACAAGTGAGTCGTTGAATCATTGATTCACCCGATTGATTCATTCACAGATTCATTCAGAAATGAAACACGGCTGTGTGTTGCTCGGAAAAGTCGTTCTGTTCTGGCTTAAAAAATTATACAAAATATTAACTTGTAATGAAATTGTGAAGATGTAAACTAATCTGACTGGCAAAAACAGCAAGTCTTTTCATCCGCAATCAGACTATTCTACGTTTTAATGCAACTGACTTAAAGTGAACAAGTTTTACTCAGGGTTGTTTGAGGCGAGACGGAGCAGTCAATCCCGGTTTTCCTCTGTGTTACTCAGGAGCAGGCGGATCTGAAGCTGCGCGCCGGAGAGCTGAAGCAGAAGGAGGAATCGCTGCAGAGAGAGAGAGACGGTCTGGAGACGCTGAGGCAGGAGCTGGACAGAGAGAAGGAGAAGCTGAGCGCCACGGCCCTGCGACTCAAGACACGCGCTCAGGAAGTGGAGGCGTTCAGCAAGGTGAGGCCTGAAGCGCCGCGGTCAGCGTGTGAGTGACACACCTGATCATGTGACTCTGACCCGTCCGCTCTGGTGTGTTTGCAGCTGGCGTCCGAGCGCTTCGAGGAGGGAGAGCGAGCGCTGAGAGAGGCCAGACAGGTGGAGGACGAACATCAGGCCAGACTGCGCAGCATTCATGCCCAGCTGGAGCGCCTCCGACAGCAGGAGCACAGCTTACAGCAGGTCTCCAAATACATATTATATAGTTCTATATTGATATTTAGAATTATAAATTAAAAAAAATACTTTATTTTTATATATATATATATATATATATATATACACACCACCGGTCAAAAGTTTTAGATCGGTAAGATTTTTTATGTTTTTAAAAGAAGTCTCTTCTGCTCACCAAGGCTGCAATTATTTGACAAAAAAAAAAACAAACAAACAAAAAAAACAGTAATATTGTGAAATATTATTACAATTTAAAGCAGCGGTTTTCTATGTGAATATATAGTGAAGTGTAATTTATTCCTGTGATCAAATCTGTATTTTCAGCATCATTACTCCAGTCTTCAGTGTCACATGATCCTACAAAAATTATTATAATATGATGTTCAAGAAATATTTATGATTATTATCTATGTTGAAAACAGTTTTTTACATTTATATTTCAGGTTTCTTTGATGAATAGAAAGTTCAAAAGAACAGAATTGATCTGAAATGGAAAGCTTTTGTAACATTAATCACTACCATTCAAAAGTTTGGGGTCAGTAAGAATTTATTTTTTATTTTTGGGGGAAAGAAATTAGAAAATACTTTTATTCATCAAGGACGAGTTAAATAAAGACATTTATAATGTTAGAAAAGATTATATTTTAAATAAATGCTGTTCTTTTGAACTTTCTATTCATCATAGAATTTTTGGGGGAAAATGGTGCACGACTGTTTTCAACATTGAAAATAATAATTTATGTTTTTTGAGCATAAAATCAGCATATTAGAATGATTTCTGAAGGATCATGTGAGACTGAAAACTGATGTGCAATCAGCAACAGTAATGATGTTGAAAATTCAGCTTTCAAATTACATTTTAAAATATATTGAAATAGAAAACCGTCATTTTAAATTGTCATAATATTTCACAATATTACTGTTTGTCTTTTTTTTTTCATCAAATAAAGCAGCCTTGGTGAGCAGAAGAGACTTCATTTAAAAACATAAAAAATCTTACCGATCTAAAACTTTTGACCGGTAGTGTATGTATATTCATATTTTTTTAATAAATATGTAAAATATATGTGTATATTTGTGTCAATAATTATTTTATAAATCTAAAATAAATGGCGGTTGCCTTTTAAAGTTGTTCTCTACTCCACAAGCTACTAACAAAACACTGCATTGAAGAGATTTAAGGATGAGCACGATGTTTTTAAAGAATTATATCTTTATCAGACCAATATTTAAATAGCACAATATCAGGTAATAGTGTTAAATTGAACAGATATATTTACATTAACCACTAATAACACTATAAAAACAGCCTAAACACTGATGAACAGCAGCTTTGAACTACATTCTTCACTATAATAAAAGCATCATGTCATACTGCAACTCGAATCAATGAATCGTTTTAACAATGTTATTTGATTCAAATACACGATTCACTGAGGATATTTAGCCTCATGTTTGACTGAAACCATGGGTTTGGTCATCTACTCCACTATTTGATGGAAATGTAGCTTGTTACGGTAAATGATGTTAAACACTACTCACTAATGTAGTCATGTAATTACGTAACTCTGATCATGTGACCTCTCAGGAGCGCTTGAGGATGACGGATCATCACAGAGACATGGAGCGACTGAGACACACTCTTCCAGTCAATCCAGTGACGTCAGCGCCTCTCATCGCAGGTAATGTCTCTGTTCACATCCTCACTGAAGGCGTTCAGCGTCTCAGACAGTGAGTCACTTGTGTGTGTGTGTTAGATTTCTCTCCAGCGCTGGCCAGCACACACCTGAACGCCGCTGTCGACCCGTTGCCCGGCGAACTACACGCCCGCCTCGCCCTCATCAAACACACCGCAGAGAAGGTACGACAACACCCTCTTCACAGGTGATACCGTCACAATATACACTTAAAGGCGCAGTGTGTAATATTTAGCAGCATCTAGTGGTGAGGTTGCGAACTGCACCCAACAGAAGTTACGGTGGCAGATAGGAAGTGATGTCTTCGTCTGAGACAGCAGAAAGTAGCCAGTTAAGCAATGAGGTTTCTTTACAAAGATAAATTAGAATATCAGGCACAGCCCAACTTTCAACAAGTCAAAATGGCTACCTTCAGTTTAGAAACAATATAAAAAGCCTTCATTTATTCATGGCTATTACATTTTAAAAACATTCACATATAACCGCACACAACAATCCTCATTTAAATGCGAAAGTAAAGCCAAAAGTTCCTGAATAATTAAAAAAAATCAAACTAGAGTTCAGCAAAAATTGAATGAAATATGCAAAAATAAAAGAATAAACAAAAACATGCAAGAATTATTGAGTAAAAAAGGGAAGATCTTGACAAATTTCCCATTGATGTTGAAGCCATTAATTCAAAGGTGTAAATCAAATAAAGTGAAAAAAATAACAGATATTTTTGTTCAGCCAAATAAAACCCAAATGTAAGTCCAAAATTCAAATAAATATCTTGATAAAAATATACTAATAGAATGGAAATATCTAGCTCAAGTGTGTATTATATACATCTATGAAATGATTAAGTGAATAATTCAACCATATTCAAATCAAACCAGCAGTTTCTGAGCGAATCCTGTGGAAAATCAACAAATCACTTCAGCAAGCATAGCAAACAATAAATAGATATTGTAAAAATAATTGAATAAATACAAGAGGAAAGATCTCATCATATTTCCCATTGATTTTATAGCCAATAATCCAATAGTGAAATAATCAGTCGAGTTGATCCAGATTAAAAGCCATTTACGATCCACTTCAACATCATAAACAACACATTCTTGTCTGTTGGTGTGGACCACAATAAAGTCTACTTATCGCTAGTTTTTTGTCTAGGACCATTGTTTCACTTTTATTATTTTACACACTGCAAGTGTGTGTAGAACATTTGATTCATTGGGACACACTTATAGTGTTGCAAAAATACATGTTTACAGAGCTTTTTATTTTTACTTTTAGCACTTACAAAATACACATAGCCTACCCTAATCTTTGCACCAATACAACGTGCAACACTTATATTTATATTAGTTTATATTATAGCAATTATATTAGATATTATTTATATATGTAACTAATTGAACTCACAGTGGAATGTTTTCCTCAACATTGTATGATTTCGAGGCATGTGAGTTCCTGAACATGATGCATGATGGGATACGCTTATCCTCGATATTCGAGAAAATGCAATTTGGCATTTTTAAGACATGGGACAGTCTTACACACTTACTTCCTGTCGCATACACACACTCTCAAGGGTATCAGATCAGGACCATCATTTCTGTGGCCATGAGTGATTATAACTGACCCTTACCCATAATCCCTATCTTGACTGTTCTTTTAGGGTGGAAATATTTCATTGCATATGTGGATGAATTATTTAATTTGCCAAATCGTGCAGTATACAAATTCACATGCATGAAATACTATGTGTTGCATTAACCAGATTTTGTAAATGCTGTATATAAACTGCACAGTGATCTAGGATTGCAATACAAATACAATTTTATGACATGAAATGAAAAAAGCAAATTAATGTGAACCAAAATGGCATATTAATAATCATTGGCTATTGCAATAAATGGACAGATGTGCAACAGTCCATCTGGAGGGATTGGCAATACATTTATTTTTAAAAAAAAAACTTTTGTCGGTCTAATACTTGAGAACCATTTATATGATTATAAATGCAGTTATGAGGTGATCTAAATCAAATGACACATTAAAAATGAATCTCCAACTCTTTAAATCCGCAGTGATTGCAGAGAGCTGCACTAATCATTAAAACACCAGTACAATTATTTCACTTCAGCATTGAGTTGACAGCCATTATCACCCTAAATGCACAACATCTCACACACACACACACACTAAGTGTTTCTACTCATTCCTCTAACAGGACAGAGACTTCCTGCAGGAGGAGCAATACTTCCTGGACACTCTGAAGAAAACATCGTTCAACACATGACAGGAGGCATTCATATCTTTCTACAATGTTTATTCTCATCAAATAAAGCAGTTTTTAGAAATTCTCATGGTCTAATGTCACTCTCCAACACTCACACTGTGGGGCTTTTCTCGTACCAGTAATATTACAGCTGGAACTATGATTTTAACTACATAAAATAGAAACTATAAATATTTCTTGAGTGCTCAGTGTAGCTCGTTATTTTTTCAGACGCATAATAACTCTCCTATAGCCACAGCACTGCAGGAAAAATATCATAAATATCCATGTTCTAATTTGGCCTTAAAAAAACCAGTAAAATCAAAAAATTTTCCCCATATTAATTTGTGAATATTTTAAATGTTTTAAAGGGGGCAAAAAGTCATAAACAAATATCTGAAAATTTGTTGAGATGTTATAGCGCAGCTATGGTGTGGTCAAACTAAAATGATGGTGTTCAACTTTGCATTTTAAAAATAGAACAACCGTTCATTTTTCGTTTTGCAACGGCCGTTTGGACATGATACGAGTTCTTTATTAAATTCTTTTTTTTTTTTTTTAAAGAAACAATAATTACAGGAATAGCCTCTCTAAACTTCAAAGAAATGCCAACAAGACACCGAAGCAGAAATAAGGGAGAAACGCAGGAACTCCGTGTCTTTCCCTGCCATTAATGCTTGAATAACACACGTCTCCTTCCATTAATAATAATGTCTAGTGCGGTGCATATCTGTGAAATAGGTAAACTTACCAACGTCCGTTGCCATGATTTTTGGAATGACTTATCGCGAGAGGGAAAAAAAGACGTTTTAGTCACAAAACTTCGGTTAATGGAAACACCGTCATTTCGCAATAGTTTTTTATCGACATTTGGAAAATATCGTAAAAGTTTTGCGCAAATCTGTAATGGAAACGCACAACGTTATCGTTTTATCCAGTTGGATATGTCCTCTGCATGTTTAATACATGAATTCATGCATTTTCGGATATGATTTTCGGTTTCAGAAATGCGAGTAAGCGCTGCGGCAGTTTGAAAAAGGCGACAGAGGCGGCGAAAGCATAAGCAGCCTCGCGAGTCGCGAGAGAGGGGACCCCACTAAGGGGGATGCCGAGGTGTTGCGGTGTCACTGCGTGTTATATTAATACGAACATTTTTGATTGTTTAAATGATCGGCCCTCGGGGGCCCCCTCAAAATGTGGGGCCCCAGGCAATTGCCTGCCTTGCCTGCCCTATTGCAGCGCCTCTGGTTGACAAAGACGACTTTGACCAACAACAACGTGCGTGGAGACGACTCTGGAGCTAATGAGATGGTAGGAACATAGACAGTATAATAAGGGTAGGAATGGAGAATTTGTCTGCTACATTGCTAAATTTGTATTGCAGTATGTTATGCCAGACACAAATTCACGGTCGGATGGGCATTACATTTTTTTTCAGGGGGGCACAACTTAGATAAACCTAATTGCATAATAATATTAAATTATATGACCGATTATGAATTGAATATGTATGATAGATAATACAATGATAATGATCAATATTAGCCACTAACGGAAGAGTGCTTTCAATTTCAAATCCTCACCACAGACGATCCTCACGCGCGCTTTGTTTATGTAGACTGCTCGCGCATGAGGCTGTGCGTCTCCGTGGTTTAATGTACTTGTGCAAAATTAACGTAAACACAGCCTTAAGGGATTAAACGGACAGGACAAACCACATTACTTCTTATATTTCAAAAGAGATGCGTGCGTGAATGCAGCTTGATAGATTTCCCGCAGTAGTCTATGTTGTCATAGTAAAAAAACTACAGTAAAGATGAAGAAAATTCACTCAAGTTCTTGATTGGAAAACGTTCAGATAATCTATAGGCTACTGAAAGCACTTTTTGTTTGTTGTATGTTTCTTTGCTCCTCTTTATTATTTGCTACTTGCTTGTATGTTTTGAAGTTAAATTAGTTTAAAATTCTTAACAAACAACTTAATTATTTTGTAGAAAATTTGTAATTATTTAAAAAAGTAGGCCTACTTAATTATAAAAACTAATGAATTAAAGGGGGGGGGGGAGTAAAGAATCGTTCTGGAATCGGATCGTGACTCCCAGAATCGGAATCGGATCGTGAGGTGACCAAAGATTCCCACCCCTAATAGATAGATAGATAGATTGATTGGTTGATTGATTGATTTATAAATCAATAAGATTGACAGTTGGCCAGGGTTCAAAATCAAAGCAAAGGCATGTAAACAATGGCATGTTAAAAATCTCAGACTTGGTGCTTTAGCCTATAAGATGTGCTGAAATTTGCATGACTTTCAAGAAATTAATTTACATTACATACAAAAGTTAATTTTTAATTTTAAAATATAGGTACAAAATTTGATGACGGCCATGCTATCTCGGGCCGCTGTGAGCATCGGGTTAGAGTGGAATCCTCCACCCTGTCCCGAGCGCTCGCGGATGGATGATTGGTTTTTGGGCAAGGCTCTTGCCTCACGGCCACAGCCGACCCAAATTCCTTTCTTTCCCGAGCTGCATGGGGAACTGACGAAGACATGGAAGGCTCCTTTGACCTCCTGTGTGCGTTCGTCAGCGTCCCCCGCCTTTCCTCCCCTCGACGGCGCAGTCGCCCATGGGTACACCGGGATTCCCCCGGTGGAGCGCTCTGTTGTGATGCAACTGTGTCCTCAAAGCGCATCCTCTCGGAATGCTCCTAAGCACCCGTCCAAGGCCTGTAGGTTCTCGTCATCTATGGTGGAATGGACCTGATAACAAGCAGAATCACTGAAGGAGAAAATCACAAATTGTAAGCCACCGTTGTGGAGATCAGTGTTTGCTTTAGTTGGGCTCTTGACACTTATACTTTCACTATATATTTTGTTTGTCTGCTGTTATTGATTTATAACAGTCAAATGAACAAAGAAAAGTGTGATCTGATAGTGTTGGTTATGTTTTGACATAATCACGCTTTGATCTGAAAAAATGAAACTTATTGAAATAGTTTAGTTTAACTCATTAGCAATAGCTTTGTGATTCTACGGCATATGATTATTATTATTTTTCTTGTAACAAATAACATTTTGATAAACATTTTTCTGATCAAAATTCTTTCAAATGAATTTATTTAGAAACATGAATAATCAGCCTGTGAATCTGATTTTTTTTTTTTAATTTAAGAAATCGATTATATTATATCTAAAATTTTGGATATATATGCATAATCACACATATGCTGTAACCAACAGAATAAATCACAAACATAAAATTCAAATGATGATCATCATAACATAACCAACACTATTAGATCCCTTTTTTTTTCTTTGTTCATCTGGCAGTTTTAACTCAGAAACAACAGCCGAACAAAATCTAAAGTTAATAATTTAAGGGTCAAGAGCCCAACTAAAGCATAATGGTGACTTACAATTTGTGGTTTTGTCCTTCAGTGATTCTGCTTGTTATCATCAGGTGTCTTCAATAATGCTCAATCATCACTAAATTAATCACTTAATTATCTCATTAACTTTAACACTCTTAAGTGTTAATTTAACACTCATATCTGCATCATATCTTTCATCTAAAAGCAGGTGAAGGTGATTTACTACTAATTAAGGAACCGGCTTTACTGAAGAGATGCGCAGAACATTTGGTTGATTTTTTTAAGGAAAATACAAATCACATGTATTTGTAATACGTATTGAATTACTTTTGAGTATTTTGTAATTAAAATACTGCCCATCTCTGACGACACTCCACTATTGGTCTAAACAACACTTAGCCGTTCAACCATATATAGGCTTATACCACACAGATCTGTGTCAGTCTCTTCACCAAGCGTGCCAACATGTCGTGGACTACAAACCCCACTGCCCAACGGGAAGATGTGGACGCCTGACAGAGACATTACAGACTGCCTCACACCAAAGACAATTGAACTGTTATTATTTTTAATAATAATCATAATTCATTGACGCCACGGACACGCCCATCGACGAAAAAGCGCAGATAGCACAACTTTACATCGTCAATGCGTTTAGAAGGCACAGGAGAAATGTGAAGTCGGTCCGACTAAATCCCTAGGATGAGTTTGTTAAAGTACGTAATGAGTAAATCATCCAAAAATCTCGGTAAAATTAGAAATGGCCGACTTCCTGTTGAGTTTAGGGCATCGCTCCAAGAGACTTTTCTGTGCGTCTGGACATGGTAGATGTACCACAGAAATTTCGTACATGCCGGTCAAACATGCGGCGGGGACTGCTTCGTTAAAGGTCACTTCCTGTTGCCAGCAGGTGGCCCTATGACTGTGGGTGAATATTGTCATGTAGATTTGTTCAAGGCGGGACTCTTGTCAAATGTGTAAAATTTCGTCCAGATCTGGGCATTTAAAGCCAAGTTACTACAACTTCCTGTTTCATGGCGAATCATCGACGCCACGGACACGCCAATCGACAATAACGCACAGATAGCACAACTTTACATCGTCAATGCCTTTAGAAGGCACAGCAGAAATTTGAAGTTGATCCGACAAAATCCCTAGGAGGAGTTCGTTAAAGTACGGAGTGTGTAAATCGTACCAAAATGGCCGCAAAAATTAAAATGGCGGACTTCCTGTCAAGTTTAGGGTATGGGTTCTTGAGGCTTTTTTGTGCGTCTTGATATGATGCACGTCCCCACCAAATTTGGTGCGTGTAGGTTGAACGTGCGGGGGGGGGGGCTGCTTCGTTAAAGGTCACTTCCTGTTGTCAGCAGGTGGCGCTATGACTGTGGGTGAATGTCGGCAGGTAGATTTGTTCAGGGCGGGACTCTTGTCAAATGTGTAAAATTTCGTGCAGATCTGGGCATTTACAGCCAAGTTACTACAACTTCCTGTTTCATGGCGAATCATCGACGCCACGGACACGCCCATCGACGAAAACTTTACATCGTCAATGCCTTTAGAAGGCACAGCAGAAATTTGAAGTCGATTCGTCTAAAGCCCTAGGAGGAGTTAGTTAAAGTACGTAATGAGTAAATCATCCAAAAATGGTGGTAAAATTAAAAAATGTCCGACTTCCTGTTGAGTTTATGGCATCTGGACATGGTAGATGTACCA